ATTTCACCTAGCGCCTCTCGACCCATGGTTAGTTCTCTTCCCGTGTTGTCCCCTCCCAGTTTGGCATTCATGTCGCCCATTAGAATTTTGATATCGCCAACTGACGTCTTGTCCAGTGTTGATTGAAGTTGTCTGTAGAAATCCTCCTTTTTCTCTTGCTCTGCATTATTTGTAGGTGCATAACATTGTATGATTGTGACCTTCCTTCCTTTTGAGTTGAATCTTGCTGTCATGATCCTGGAGGAGATTGGTTCCCACTGCATGAGAGCCTTCGATGCTCTTGAGGACATCATGATAGCCACTCCCTCAGTGTGCTTGTGGTTGTCGTCTGGGTGACCGGAGTAGATTATTGATTCTCCAGTTGACAGTTTGTAGAGTCCACTTCCATTCCATCTACTTTCGCAAATTCCTAGCACTTCAATGTGATACCTTCCCATCTCGTTTGTAATCTGGGCTGCCTTGCTGGGTTCAAAGATGGTGTGGACATCCCATGTCCTCACGTTTACTTTCGCTTTCATCAATAGAAGATGCATCGACCAATTGGCTTCCCGAAGACTTTCACCAGCTGGCGTCATTTCGCCTCTCCGATTCCAGCGGGGAACAAGTTTGTTATTATCTTTTATATTTTGTTTGTGCTTTGAAGTTTGTTTAGCTGTTAGATTTGTTTTACGGGGTAGGGTAGCTAGCCATATGCCTAACCTTCCCTCTTTACCCGGGCTTAGGACCGGCTAGTAACTAGTAAACTAGTTAACCAGGCGAGGTTGCCATACAGTATGCTGTGGAACAAACTTCCCGTTCCTATACGAGCATGTCAATCTCTCGGCCAGTTTCAACGATTACTCAGTGAATTCCTCCTACCTAACGAGTCTCATCAATTGGTTGATGGCCAAATCACAAGCGGTAATACCATGTACAGCGGTGCTACTGATACCTAGATTCACGGGAGACGAGCAGCAATGACAAAAGTATACAATGCCGAAAACTAAACGCATAGGTTAAGATAAAATCTGATTTTTTGAAAATAGACCAAGAGCACACAGGAAACGGAGTGTGATACGATTTGCAACAGTGAACTCAGTACCTACTCTAATGTAACCCACATTTCTTCATAGCCTAACTGATCTCACGACTTAACACCTATTTTTGAAAATTCTTCGCTTAAAATAATCTCTCTACCCCTGACTGATAGGTGAACTGTTTGTCGGTGGATCTTTTTAGCATGCAACATGTTTTACTATTTGCCCTTTGCTATCAGTGCTTGCATGTGGGTACTCCGCACCACCATGTTGTTTCTACAGCCCTGATATGGTAACGCTCAACAGGCAACACCATGATCATCCCTACCCCGTGACCAGACAAAAGGTGGTTACCATCTTAGAAAAAACCACAAATTTCACTTAAATGGTCATAACTTCATCAAACGTTTGTACATGGGTGTATAAAGAGTGAATACTTGGTCCAAAATCCTCTATTCTGTCTATTTCGTAGTGATATCTTCGGCTTCACACTAATTTTGATTACTGATGTGAGCACCATCATCTTCTTCCACCCTAGCTTACCTCTAAACAGTTGGTTCTGGATACTTCCTCAAGTAGGTTTTATAGTCAGTACAAAGAACTCGCCCGGATGTACCAAGGTTGATCTACCCCTATGTAGTATTTTTGTGCTCCTGTCTCGAATTTCGCCTGCCGCTCACCTTTTTAATTCATTTTTCAGGTCTACCTAACCAGTTCTGCATCCATATAGAATGCTAGAAATCGCATTTGCCAGAGTGCACCATGCCATCAAAACTATGTGACGAACACACACAACCCAAGGTCATGACTGTACTACCTGCCACACCTTCAAGAATATTGGAAGATTCAAACAATGGCCGAATAACACCAAGTTTCATGCTGAACTTGCCTCAGTATGCTGAGCAGTTATCCTGCGAAGCATTAACGTCCTTTCTCTAGACGCACCTTTTGTGTGCCATAAATAACGGTATCTAATGTGTAGCCTAACATTGTGCATTACAGTCGTTTCTCATTACCAAAACGACCAAACCCGCAAGCTGGTTTGTATTCGTGTAGCTTATGTTGTACAAAATGTATTATTATTATTATTGCTATGATATCTCTCTCCAAGTTTTGCAACTCTCAAACCACAGATAACCTGAAGAAGCACTGAACCTGTCTTTCAAACGCTGAAGTTACCTAGATCTATCTCGACTTCAGGGTAGCAGAAAGTTGAACAGTGTCACCCATTAATCGAAAAATACTTAAAAGCCGGCAAGGAGGGTTGTTGTTATTGCCTAACTCACGACTCTGTTGAAGTTAACTGGTATTTAATATCTGTTATTATTCAACTTTTTAATTATTTGTCTAACATTATCGCATCACTTATATTTTTATAAATTCTTGCTGGCTTTTCTGAGGATGAAAAGAAGTGTCAGTAGTCTCCGTGGAAGTTGGAGTATGAGCGTGAAAAGGCTAAAATTATCTGATCCATCGCTTAGTGTTAAAAGTTCCACCAGCAACTGCTGTCCGTCACTTAAGTTACCCGGCCTTTGACTAACGTCTACAGTGATGTTAATAAAATTGCGTCTGATATTCTGGAAATTTTGAAAGCAGTTGGGAATATGCAATGTAACATGGAATATCTCCTCCCGCTGATCGATTCTTCAAACCCCAGATGTGACTCTATAGTTGATAGTTTGATAAAATGCGAGAGACTCATTGAATTCGTAGCCAGCAAGGTAAGCAACCGAATGCGATCCTCCTACGGTTCAGTAGTCTTCAACACCACTGACGATTCCCCACTACACCGGGTTACAACTGATTGTTTTCAAGCGTGGGGCTTGGCTGTCTGAGCTTCTAATATTCGTCGCTAAAGGAAAGGAACAGTCAGGTTCCCGTGTCCTGTTCTAAATCAGTTCAACTCGCTGTGCAACGCAAAACACTTCTCTGACTTTCAGAGAATTATGGCATCCACAACACCATGTAGCAAGGTTAGGATATCTCCTGACCTTTCTTCTTGTCAGCACCGCACACGGAAATTATCTGACCTTGTTAATGGCCTAAGCCTTTTTATAGCTTCATCAGAATTCTCCGTCCTTTTGTTTAACTGGCGTTCAATTTGAAGTAAGCTAAATTATCTAAAATCTCTGGCTCACTTGGTCGAACCATGCTGCATTTTAATCGCTGAAACTTAGTGTACGTCAGATACCTCAAGACTCAGGCTCACGTCAGATAATTTGTTCCATAATGACCGCAGTACTTCTAAAGTTAGAGGTGGCAATGTCTATGTTCGCTTTGACTTTTCATCTTCAGATGCCTTGCCGTCGGGTCGGACCTTTTAGAGAGAGATTAAAAGGTACGCTGCTTTCAAAATTGCGACCAGAACAGGTTGGCTGGCTTCGGGAAGAACAAATCATGTGCTCATCAACTTGCAACGCAACACAACGCAGCATCACAGGACAGAGTATAGAATCACAGTTAACTCCTTACCTTACCTCAACTTCATCGATTTTGGAAAGGCCTCCGATCGAGGTGTCGATCGAGAAGTAATTTGGAGGGCGGCTGCTTGCTTCAACACTACGGTTTTATTACCACAACCCTTTATCAAACGCATTCAGCATCAGCTATATGCTATGCTATGTGAGGATGCTACATGCCTAGTGATTGACAATGGAAAGCCCAGTTCAGTGATGCCTTTGAAGTGAAGACAGGGGACAGGAGTAAGGCAGGGTTCCCGCCTATTATTGCCGATCGTCTTTCTTATTGTAGTTGACTGAAATGAATGATGCAAGAAACTGTGAGGAGCGAGAAGATGTGCATACGCTAGCTGGACCGATGAAAAGATCTCAGAAGATTTCGATTTCGCCGATGATGTCTTATGTCTAATGTCTTGTTGCACAAACTCGAAGATCTACGGAGGAAAACCACCAATTCGGCAGAAGAGGCAGTGAAGACAGTACTTCATGCACACGTAGAGAAGACAGAGGTGATGAAGATGCCCAGCCAACAACAAGCATCAATCACCATGAACGGGAGAAATTTGAATGATGTAGTCTCTTTCACCTACTACCTGGGCGGCATCGTCTCGACTAAAGGTGGTGGCGGCGGCAGCACAGATGAGGATGTCAAAACCGGGATCCGAAAAACAGCAAGACAGGCCCTCATGCATTAATCTGAAATCAGTGTGGAGATCTACTGTATTCCACTCCATTGCTCTCCACTCAGCATGAAGCGTGAACAACATCCGGATTTTTAACACCAGCATCAATTCAGTGCTTCTGTGTGATGGTTGAGAGACTTGACACGTCACGAAAAACATTTTCGACAAAGTGCATACATACGTCATCGACAGCTGCAGCCTGCGCTCACTCCGTACTGATGGCCAGGATAATAAGGACAAGCGACAAGGAACTCTGGCAATGAACCAGCCAAGAACCCATCGTCCAACAAATATGCAGAAGAGGAAAGTGGAGATGGATCAGATTGGGCGTAAACTCCGAAAATCATTCGGAGACATCATGTGCCGGGCCAGGCTCTCAAGTGGAATGCAAATGGGAAACTACGAGTTGAGCGTCTGAGCCGAGGGTGACATGAGGGAGATCATGTTAGGAAATCAAAGCTTGTGGGCGGTCGTGGAGCCATGCTGAAAAGACTGGAGAGAGTGGAATGGAATGGAGACGTGCTAAACAAGTCCTATGTTCCACTAGGAACCCAAGGGACAAATAATACAACTGTCTGACTTCAACTTATTATTGGAAAAATAATTGTGATTTCGACAAATAACTCTGTTTCTTTATGAATGATTTGGCGAAAAATAAACCCTGTTCGGGCTTTATAGCCATAATGGAACAGAAGGGTCCCAATAATTGAGATTGGACAAACTGAAACCCTATAACCGCTCTCAGTTGACCTTAAGGAACTATGAAGTTGGTGTTAGTTTCATGCGTTTCGGTGAATTGTCGGCATGATGATAGTTGACAACCTGGGGACAGTATATTTTCTATGTTTCGAACAACGAATGTTTTAAAAGTGTTTTTTCCACTTACCATACTGTGTTTAGGCTCCTGGTCATGGGAACTGTCAAGTTTATCTTCACCACCATCAAGGAGAAACGTCACCTATCACTTTCGTGCTGGTGCAAGTATAAATCTAACATGTGGAGAAGAATATAACTTGAAACCGACTCTTGTAGTATGGCATGGTCCTTCGAATAAGACGATATCTGGACCGACGTTATTACTGAATAATGTCAATGTTTCCCAGTCTGGCGAATTCTACTGTCAGCTGTTCAATAATAGTGACTTAGTCTTTCATCAATCGATATTTGTTGTTGTCCAAGGTAAGAGAGTAAATATTATTACCTTTAAGATAAACCATCCCATCCAATATCAATACATATCCACGCACTTTCGGAAAGCTCATTGAATGTTTCTTGGATTGCTGGGAGTAGTCAAAATAGTCCTATTTTACTTCATACAGTTTACACACATGATGAGTAAGTATTATCAGTTTTTCAGATAGCCGAAGTTGCCTTCCAAGTAGCCTGATTTGGGTACATAGTATTGATATCCTCTATTAGCCACTGGTGCCTAAAAATGATACAGAAGTACCACTAGATTTTATAACTGTTCTACATTGTTATGCATCTGTGTTATCCCTGCACTTGCATGGTAAACTGATTTCTGTTTTGATACTCCTCAGCAATTATTGAGCACTCGCGAAAGGCAAGGGTTTTTTTTCCCGAAGAGGTAAAAAAGAGTGATCGTTTGTTTCAGTGGTATCTGGTTTTTTTATATTGTGTACTAGTCATACTTTCAGCCTTAAAAGAGATTTATGGAGAGCCTATTTTATACGACATACCTCCCATTTTTTGCCACCATTTATCTGATTGTTCCGATAAAAGTAAGACTTCAGGGCTGAAAATGAGGGATTGTTGAAGAAGATTGTCAATCTGCTCAGTACGAAAAAAATGAAAGTATGGTGAGATATTAGTGTTTTGAAAGCTGTGTTTGAATGTGATCGTGATTTGGTTTCATCCACTTAGTATTTATTCATGCCAATCAGTTATTTTCTACGACTAAAGTAGCTCAGATCGTAAACTGATCTACGTAGTCCTGAGTGCTTGTTTGTCGACTTTTAATGTATGTGAATGCACATCATTAAGTTCTTGAGGTTTTGACTGATATCTGTCTCTCATTATTATATGTTCCCAGACCTATTTTTTTAATGTTCATGCAGTATTCCCCTGCCGTTACATAGGTTGTTGGGATGTTTCCAGTTTTTAGCCAACTATCCTCATAGCTTTGGGCACTTATCTGAGTTTCGTTTTCACGATATCAAAAAATCCTGGAAACCGAGTTTTCAACGCTTTTAAAGACAATCTAAGTGTAATTGGCTAGTTGTAACGTAGCTGAATTTTCTGTGCACTTTGCGTACAACTAACTACAGAAGACGGTGTTATTGCTTAGTTGAATTTCGTATGAATTTAGACTAACAAAGAACTAACAAACACAGTTGGACTTATATATCATACTACAAATTTTTCTCTCTTGTGACTACGTGTCGAATTCAGATGTAGCAGTCATCTTTGGGAACATACTTCACCGAGTCCTAAGTACTTATCGCTTATTTGTCGAAACGTAGTGTCGACTAAAAGATCCACCCAATTTAAGCGCTATCTTATGACAAATAGTTCCATAGTACTGCCTAATTTAGTGATCCTAACATGTGTCAGAAATATGTTTGGGTTTCCACAATTCTAGGCAGTGGGATTTCGCTGGACATTCGCGTGCTTCTCAAGAAGTGATATGTATCCCAAATTACCCTTTTGTCCTGTTTCATATTTGAAACATTTCGCCTACGCACTTGTCCGTGTTTTTCACTTGTTGAAGAGAAAACCTCTAATAAAGTTTAACGGTTTTAGAGATATGGGGAACCATAGTTTTAATGGTCATTTTAAATGATTTTAAGCGGTGATTATTATATGATGCCATCTTAATTTCGTCAGCACAAGCCGTATGATGTTATTTTATAATGAAGATTAAACTACATTTCTAAACATTTTAATAATTGATAAAATTATTTCTTACCTAAGTATATCATTATCTTTTTTTTGAAGAACTGATCTAGTTTCACAGAAAAACGTTTCGTTCCCACTTTCTGGTACAACGCTTCATAATTTAAAGCCTTACACGTGCTATACTTTGTTTGTTCGTGCTCTAAATGACATTGGGTGGAGTGACTTCACTAGTCCCAGACATTCATTGACTCTTCCAGGTTTGCCTGTTTCACAGCCAAGGGTTCATGTCGTCAATGTGTCAAGTCATTCCGTTTTCATAGACGTTGACGTTATGCATCTTCAAGATGTAAACCCGGATAATGCCAAGAGATGTTCAAATCAGGATACCCGTTTCGCAACGTCACTTCTTGGCCCATTACTGGGCTACATCGTTACTGTTGCCACTACTCAGCCTTATGTACTTGCCTCAAGAAGTCTACATAATGCCTCTTCATCTTACTCACAGGTATAGTTTTTTTGTTCAGCGTAATGTTTCTTGGTAGTAGAATCCATTCTCTCCACTTTCTGCGTGCAGTTCTATGCAGGGTTCCACAGTGACATATTTGCTTATCCATAAGTAGAATTGAGTCATTAATGATCGACATTTTACTTGCTTTTTAAGTTAGTGTTTTAAAGACATTCGTTGACGAAAAGTAATTGAAGAGAACTTAACTACTTTCCCTTGATAATTGCACTAAATTACTGTAACAGTCCACTCGCTCTATGTGTAAGTATTCAGTCCAACCAGTGAATCACAGGTTCGATTTTTTGCACATCGTGATTCAGTCTTCACTAACCAATCTGTTGTCCAGTCATAACCTAAAGGTAATACTTTGAGTCTTCAGCTATTACCAAAGTTAAGCAAACTAGTTAGTGGGCAAAGAATAACAATAGCAATTTGACAGTCAGCCACTGGGACTGTTTTTAAGCTTTGAAAATGGATCATTGGTTAAGGCAGTTGACTTTAAATTAGTGGGTTTCGGGTTCAAACAGTGCCCCAAATACTGAGGTCGGGGAAGCCAAATAGTATGATTAACCTTCACACAGTAGGCGTGCCTCTTTGCCTACTGCAGAAATGTACACAAGGTTGCTTAGTGCCTTTCGATTCAATTCGAAATTGGGGTTTCAGGGATAGAAGTGAAAGTAACTTAAGTACTACCTCAGGTTTGGCACCTTGACCTGGTCTAACCTGATTAGTGTAGGTCGTCTATCTCCCCGGGTTACAGTAAAGGGCAAAAGTCATAATTTAGTAGCCAACTTAGCTTCCAACGTTTTATGGCTATGTACTCATTTAAGGTCTGTATTAAAATTGCCATACAGCCAAAACATAAATTTAATTGAATCAACTAGATCGGTCCTCTTCATCAAATCCTTAAGCAAAAAATCCAATGTTCAACATCTGGAATACTTCGTGATCCGATGGTTTATCCAAAAGTGTTTTGATGATGCCTCAATCGAAATGGTGTTCAGAGGGAGTTGTTTGAATGAAGACCCGTAATCATTTCATGTTTTATGTTAAACTGTCATCTGAAGTGGTCGATTGAAATAATTTGTTTTCAATTTTATTTAAGCTTATGGGTGTATTTCAGGACTTCTCACTTCCTTTATTTTACTCAAAAATTGGTTTTGTTCTTGAACATTTTGACCGACCTGAAAGATATAGGCGATGTTCTGTTGAAAAGATTCGCTGGCAGAATGTGGTCTTTAGAACACTAAGCAATACTGTGAAAATGTTTTCACCCCGAAGCACCCACACCATTGATGTTAATTTGAACTGATCGGCAGTTATGACCCTTAATATTGTTTCTGTCTGTGTACATAGACATGTCTGTGCACTGCAGTAATTAAGAGTAGAATATCAGATAAATCAAAAATGTCCGCCGACTTTCGTAGCTGAGACATCCATTACTCCGTACCTAGCTATCACCTATCACAAATGTTATTGGCTATATATGTGTATATATATAATCTTGTCACTTGTAGCGGTTCAAAAGTACTTTGAGCCTTGTGATGTTGATTAGTGACTGATAGGAAATTCAGATAAAATTATAGTTGTGTGCTTTTATCATGGTGTACATCTATCTCTTTTGAACACATACCCATTTCAGGTTTTGGTAATATCTCCGTTGAAGCCATTCACGAGATACAACCTATCATTCGCTTTTTGGAATGGTCGTTTTACAGGCCCTTTTTCTTCACTTGCCGTTTCAACAGCGGAAGGAATTCCAGGAGAAACTAGGATAGTAAACTTCAAGAGTTCACCCAATTCAGTGTTAATTAATTGGGAAAATGAAGCTGTCCCCGTAGGAAAGATAATTGCTTATAAACTAGAGGTAAGTTGTAGCTATTGCTCAAATCATTTTATTTTATTGTTGCATACTAGTGAAATTTGAATCGGCACTGTAACAGTATCATAGATACATGCAGGATTCCACTGCCCTTAGAAAGTAAACTGTAGTAGCGAGAACCATTGTTTGAGACTCAGATAGATGACATGGACATGAAAAATAAGGTGGATATGAAGTGTCGCCCAGCAAACAAAAATAATTTGGTATAGTACTATGGGTGCTGATGGTCCACTCTGACTTTATCGTGGTATGATAGGCCTGTTTTGAATGACCGTAAAGTCAGCACTAATTATGTGAGAAGGTAGAATAAAGCTGTCTCCCGAGAATTGTTCGAAGTTAGTAATGATAAACTATACACACACACGTTGGACTTCCTAAAATTTTTAAGTAGTCTGATGTATAGTTTTAACCAGCTATCGTGGACTATTGCAAATCAAGCGATCTCTACTTGGTAGTTACTTTTTGTGTTGGTATTTTGTGAGTAGCATTATTCTTCGGGTTCAATCGTAACCATGCTTATCTATTACAAATATTAATGTGGATTCATTTCTGAAAGTAGTTAGTGTGTACTCAACTAGGAGTTTGTGCTTGTTTGTTTATTGAGAAGTTTTGGCTGGTGATAAAGTGGAAACTTACTAGACGGGTTTCCCCTCAATTAGTGTGATGCTACCTGCTATCATTGTATACCTTATCTTACTTGTCTTTGATTCTTATTTGTTGAGGGCGATCGACAAAATTTGATTGCTGACATCAAAGTCTTGTTTACAACTCACCTATGTACACTAAATTTGGAACTAGTGAGGTACCATAGTTCTCATCGAATGATACGTATGTTGTGCACCAGTTATATGGCGATATGCGTATCCATCACTGTTAAACCATGAGACGTTTTAAAGCTTTTTTCTTACCGAGAGTGAGCACAAAGTTTTGATTAGAGAAAGTCAACTGGGGTTATAAAATAGCTGACTGAGATGGCTGTAACATATCCATGGTTAGACGCAATCGACCTCAACGTTAAATGTTTATGTTTGGCGGCGCAGGTTAGATGAAGTCCAGATATTTCAGATCAAGATGATCAGCGATCCATGAGGTCAGTGACTTGCTCTTAGTCATTTAGTGTAATGTGCGTAACAGATCTCTTAGATACTAGAATTGAGCATTTAATGATTGAAAACGTGGCTCAAAGTTTATCATTGTAGTTACGATTCACTTATTACTATTATTTCCGTCCCTCCCGACCAAAAGTTGATACGTAAACGTGCTGATCAAGCCTGCATATCAGAATGATCCGGAAAGGTCAGTTGGATAGTGATTAGCCAAAAAGTCACAGTAGTGGTATGAATTACTATGCTCTGATGGGGGTCCAGAGGTGAAGTTGTACAGTTGACTGGATGGAAGCGTGACAGCAGTAAGGTTTTTACCTCAAATGACCAGCAGTGTCAGGTTGGTGCTACCTTCCGCATTTAGAGGGGGGGGGGGATAAGGAGTTATAAAGAGTCAACCCTAAAAATAGTACACATCACTCTAACACACAGATCACCGACACCGGCAATGTGGATTCACAGTCAGATTCAAAACTAAGAAACTGAAATTCCAAACTTCTAAAACGACCGTGTGAGTAGCCCCATGCAGGTGTTTGTTTATGCTCTATGGTTGCACCTGGCCCTTTTTCGGGTACCTCAAGAAGCACAATACATATACCATACATTTCCAAAGCTTTGTGACTTTAGTTACAAGATTAATTAATCTGCATCATACCATATACTTCACTTGGTAAAACTGAACTAAATGAGGATTAAACATATACACACCATTCCATTTTTCTTCCTTCATGAGACATAACCAAGTTGAATAACGATGCTTATCTTTATGCAACTATCAACTAATAATTTCGAATAAAACGTGAATGATGTACAGCATTCTATTCCCACCCAGCCCAAAAAATGTCTTGTCTGCCATAGAAAACCTTTTATGTAGTTCCTCGATTTTCGCTCCGTAAAGTGTCTTCATTTTGCAAACTTCACTGATTTCGATCCTGTCAATCATAAATTTCTACACGACACTTCCTTCATGAAGAATTTTGTAAATTCGTAATCACAGTCCAAAGTACTAAAACTAAGAATGTTTGTATGACCTATGCTGATTAATTATGCCTAGCTAAAACCTAAGTTTTTTTTATTGTATTCCGAGATGAATACTGAATCACATAACTGAAAACTGAATGACCAACAAGTGGCGCACTCCAGAATAGTCTCAGAGAAGTTGTCATGAACAAAGAAGATTGGTAAACTACCTGTAGGTGCTACCCTGACCTGGTTGTCAGGTTTACATATCACAGTGATCCACTAAGCTATGCTGGTGAAAAGCTTGTTCCCCCGAGGTCCTATCATACGAGATAGGTCAGTTGGATAGTGATGAGATAAAAAGAGGTCCCAGTAAAGGTGTAAATTCCTGTGTCATGATGAGGGTTCGAGGGCAAAGTCGTAGATCTATCTAGACGGATGTGTGATAGCAGTGAGGTGTTTGCCACGGAAGACCAGCAGTGTTATACTGATCCCGCCTCTTGTATGGGAAAAAGGGGGCAGAAAAGCTTGTTCCTAAAAATAGCGCACACCCCTTTACCACACAAACCACCGACACCGGCAATATGGATTCACAGTCAGATTCAAAACTACGAAACTGAAATTCTAAACTTCTAAAACGACCATGTGAGTAGCCCCATGCAGATGTTCATTTATGCTCTATGGTTGCACCTGGCCCTTTTTCAGGTACCTCAAGAAGCACTAACCTTCCACGGTGTGGGTAGCCGGGAAGTGTCAACCACCTTTATATCTCTGTCTGCATTCAAATTCCTTCAGATCACCGTCCACATCCTTAACTTTAATCTTTTTTTCACTTCTCTCGGTCAATATTCTTACATCATCTTTAGTTTTCTGCAACTCTGCAGCTGCTGATAACGGAACAGCATCCCTGGTCTCCTGAAATCGCACTCCAAACTACAGATTAGGTATCCAATGTCCACCTCCTCCCTCAAATCGACCAGCAACCTTCTCTAGACTAAACTCCACCAATTCCGCGTATGAATGTATGCTGTTTGCAAGACATATATACCGGACCCGTATCGTTATCCATTTAACCTCACCCGATCAATGTGGTGAATCTGCGAAATTTGCCCTCTGGCTTTTTGGAGATTCGATAGCTATTTGTCGTGGTCTTGTAGGTGTAGGTACAGTATTGAGTTCTAAGGCATAAAGTGCACTGCTCGACTGGATCCCATTTGACAGTTGTCTATGCACTGTTTGACTGAACAGCACTGTGAGGACTAAAAATTATAGTGAGACTCGCTGTTGTCTTTTTCAAATCTCTGCCCACGCGCCGGTTGATTGAAGTTTGGATGAAGTGAAGGGTGAGCTCTACGGAAGACTATCTAGCCTCCTACTGAACGCTAGACATCAGAAGTGGTCGTCGTTGCGGGTGATTTTAATGCATAAGTCAGTTGACTAAGTTAGACAGAAAGGCACTGAGGTGGAAATTTTGGAATACTGGTCGAACAAACTGTTAACTCCGATCGCTTGCTACAACTGTGCTCAGACAACCATCTACCTCTGGTCAGTACAAACTTCAGATCTAAAAAAGACTGTCTGACTTGGTGTTCACCAACCTCAACTCAGCGGAGGACACAGGTAGATCATACTGTTATCAGTCATCACTAGAAATAGTTGGGGGAAGATTGCTGCTGTGATTTGATGCCTCATATATCTGTGCATCAATGGACGTGGGAAAATTACACCATCAACACTATTGCCTGTAGGGCTTAATAATGTGCATACCAAGACTTTTATTTTTAGCAAGAAACTCGTTAGTCATTTACCAGTATGGGACAACATGACTCATCCAGAAGCGTGACATTATCTCCAGTTTGTTGTAGAAAGAGCGTTGGACACCGTAGGTGACTTTCAGCAAGCGGTTAGAAAGAGCTAGTGGAAATCAGTAGCTTCTGAAATAATGGATGCGCGTAAACTCACCTCTGCATGTTCTAAGCACAATGAGAAGCGGAGGTCTACCCAATAAATGCGAACAGTGGTGGACACGGAAGGCTGAGGCGATACAGTAGATTATCGCCCATAGGTAACAACAGAAAGTTATTTAGACATATCAAGGGAACTGAAGTGTTAAGGTTAGTGGTTAGTAAGACTAGCGGAGAAGGATGGGTCTGCGATTCACTCACAGGCGAGAAGTTGGGTATATAACACCTAGAGGAACAGTTCAACTAGATTCCAGCTACTATTCCGTTGCTCATTATCCAGTTGAATACAGTATCAAACATTGAGATAAGGCCTGCAGCACTTGCAGAAGTCGAGACAGCTGTAAGTAACCTGAATTGAGGAAGGGCAGCACAATTAGAGGGGATAGTACTGCAGGTACTTAAAAACGGTGATTGGGATTGTTGGTCAGATTAATTAATGCATGGGATTCAGATAAGACTCGCTGACAAGATGAATAGGTTTGACAAAACGAAAGCTTGTAAGGAATATCACCTTACTGGGTAGCTTCAGGTTGTGCTTTTCTTAAGCATGAGTCAGTGATTAAAATTCCATTTTTTGAACAGGCCATTTCAGCATTTAGCAAATACGAAGTAGATAAAAGGAATCTTCTATTACCATTTATTGACATACTTGTTATTCTCCGTTGTTTTGTTGGATCAAATTGTTCAATCTCCATTGGAATATGGGCTGGTATGCGGATGCCTCGTTATTGCTTTAATTTTAATTATAATAATTTGGTTGGTTGTGGCCAGCAAAAGAATCCAGGATGCGCGTTTCGTCCTATTTGGGACTGGTCTGCTGGATGTACCTGCACCTCAGTGATGTTGTTCCAACTGAGACTCGCACCTCGTACCCATCTATATTAGATTGTTTACTTGATATAGCACACAGCGACGCGGTTTAGTTTATCGAATGACGTTTCCAGTAGGATTGATTGCTCATATTCATATCAAAGTAATTAAATGACTTTCTAAATTCTTTTGTATAGTCCAACACTTCTTCATTCTTTTATCTTAAAGGTGGTAAAGTTCTTCAAATATCTGCATTATGCGACGAGTCAATCCTGTTGCATGTATTAGCCTTTGATTCAGTGAACAAAGATTCTGTGATCAATTTCTCTCTCTACCTAGCTCTATATTGGATTTTAGAATTGTCACCCTATTCCACTAAACCATAGTTTGATTATTAGGTCAGTGCATGCAGAGCGATAGCCGAGTTTTTTTTCTAGATTTAACGACTGCATATTTCACTAAATGTTTGTGTTTTGCCATACTAACTGACACCAATCGGCTGGTTTAACCTACATCCTTGACTTCACAATCATTACGTGGTATTTGATAGATTAGGCTATTTCTCCTAATTGGGTTTACTGGATCTTTTAGCCTAAAAAACTCCTCTCTGAGCGAGTTTGTGGGTTTGAACACCATCCTGGTCCAGCATTGTTAAAAATTTTAAGTAAAATTTTCGATGCGTCTTCTTTATACGGCAACACTACAGAGAATTTGAATTCCCTCTTGCAATCACCACTAAAACTGCCACTCCTATTTTCGGTCCTTATTAACTTTTTAATAAATTCAGGGGGATAGTTATTACGAGGTAGTCATTTCTTTTATGGTTTTCATTTCTTTATTTAGGTTTTCTGATATACTTAGACATTTTACCAAGCCTACTTTGACAGATATAGAGTGCGATTTGAAAGCCAAGTATCTGTTCGAATGTGTTGGTTTCTTATAGACGCTGGTGTCTGCCTTTAAGATAAAAGAATGATGAACCATCAGACCGTATAAAGAAAGTCTGGAAGTCGTATGATCACTCTGATACGAATATGAGCAACAAATTCTGCTTGAAACGTTGTCCGGTAAATTATACTGTCACTGTGTGCTATATCAGATGAGCAATCTAATCTGAAACTATACTCTACCAGAGTGCCCAATTTTCCTCCTTACAATAAGAAAAGGAATCTGATTGTTCTCAAACATTGATTGTCCCAGTCTCTAAGAAAAAGAAACTTCTCTTCTGATAACCGCAGGCGGATCAGTTTGACGAACATGTCCTATTTCCTAGGTTCTGTAATGATCCGATGTATAAGTAGAACTCGGGACCAACAAAACCGAGAAAATCATGCAGTTTTCAAACTTGGTTGTGGGTTTATCGGCGAGGTAACGCCCCTTCGCCGGGCATTGGATCACAGGTACGTTTATTGTCACCGACTCTATATGTACTTCTTGTTCTGAAGGCAGCATTTGGCTCCGTTGTTCGAAAGGTCTTGTGACAGACTCTCACTGAAAGGAATATTGTTTAAGTACATCATACCGTTGAAGGCTCTTTGCTCACACGTGGGCATGTTGGAGTATATGGTGAGATATCAAGTGGGCTGTGTACGTCGAGTGTATTCCATCACCATGTGAATAACCCAGAAGTCGGATGTAGAGTTTTAGGGAGGAAAGGAAAGTCAGATTATGCTGTTGTGAACCTTCACTGACTTAGGTGGCTGGGACATGTAGTACACATGTCTAGTCGCCTAGTCACCATCTGTCTTATCGCAGGATTTTAGCTAAAGTGGGTTTAGATGAGAAAGAGGTTTAAGGTGACCAGTCTAAAGAATAGCACCATTGCATGAAGTCTGATTGTTGATCTGAGCCGTGCATAGAAATGTAAACTTCTTTGTTTAGTTTCATGTGACAACAGAAACCAGTGGTTGGAGACTAGATGATATGGCTTAAAGTCTATGTCAATTGCGCAGATGTATTCCCACCTTATTTTCATCCCAATAGTTCTACTGAATCGCGTCACGAAAGGCATTTCCAATAAACTACAGACATTCATCAACAACTGCTTACGCTCGCTGCTGAAGATCAGATGGCCAGAAAAAATAAGCAACAAAGAACTCCGGGAACGAACCAACCAAGAACCTATCACGCAACAAATATGCAGGAAGAAGTGGAGATGGATTGGCCATGCACTGAGAAGGCCGACTGAGGACATCACGCGTCAGGCCAGATGCTCGAGTGGAATCCCCATGGGAAGCGACGAGTTGGACGTCCCAGCTGAGGGTGACATGGAGGAGGTCGTGCGAGGAGGAAATGAGAGGTTGTGGGCTGTCGTGGGACCAGGTTCAAAAGATCTCAGGGAACAGAGTTCACTGGAGACGTGCTACTGAAGCCCTATGTTCCACTAGGAACCCAAGGGACTAGTAATAATAATAATAGTTCTACTGAATGCAGTATTATCTCGCTCCCCCTTGCTCTCTTACGAAGATCTACAACGTTTGACTTATCTCTTTATTTGTCTCATGTTAGTGAAATCTCGCATGCTGTGCTGACATGAAATGTAGCAACCTATACCGTTAGGCAGTAATGCCAGGTCTCATGCTGATTCTCTTTATCCGTCTGCTCTTCGAATCAGAAGCATCTTACCGCTTCCTACCTGTTTGTTTTTCTGTTCACTTTTGCGCTTGTTTATTTTAATATTTTTTCTCCCTTATTCAGACTTTCTTTCTATGTTTCAATGGAATATAGCCAGTTAGACTTCTGCAATTTGGCGTAGATGTGTACATTGTTCTAATTTTCAGTGCTAACGAATGCTAAGTTAGTCAAGTTCATTATCAACAGACATTAAACTGGGTTTATATAATGCTACTGCAAATCTTTCGTTCAGTAATTTTCTATTGTGCTCCTTTATTAGCCAAACTTTACCTCTTTACTTATTAGTTACATGCTTGCCCTCCAAACAACACTGTGAATCCTAGAAGACTGAGAACTGTTCAACTGGATGCGACACTTCTTCATTTTGTGTTTGAGAATCTGGATCCTAACACGTGTTATATCGTTCGTATAGCGTCTGCTACAAAAGCCGGATTCGGGAATTTTAGCAAACTTAAAGTTTACACAGAATCTAAAGGTTAGTTTCTTGTGTATGTTTTCACTAATGCTCTTACTAAAAAGAGTGCTGCTCTGTCCTAGTGAAATAGATTTTGGAGATCCTTTCTCACTATTCAAAGATTCATAACCAATGTATCAAATCTTTAGGAAGCATGCACTAACATCATTTGGAGAAACATTAAAGACCTGGGATCACTAGACAGCTTTTTCGTTCTACAATGGGACTCCTCAGCAGTGCGCACCCATGACGCCGTCAGGGATCAAACCCAGGACCTTTTAGGTTCTGCGGCCAGTACGTTACTATTGAGTTACTGGGTTGAAATCCAATGATCCATATTTTCTACTTCTGCCAATTCACGAAATAGCGTGACCTCCGTCCAATGCTGGGTCCTCGTGTTGAACTTGGTTGGTCCCACCGGTCACGACTTCTCATTGGAACTTCAGGAATCACTTCTCGAATCTAGTCACCAATGGGTGCTAGATTAATTTGAAATTCAAAATTCAACCTACACTGTGTTGTGTTAACAAGACTTAGATTTTGAGTCGTAAACCTCTCGAAATGCCTAATACAGTTTGAATGTACAGTTTGAATGAACGGTGAAAATCGTCTCCAGCTTTTGGGTATATAGAAATGAATTTTCCGTAAAATGGATTTGGCAACTGTTTTTGTACCGTACCTAAATTATCAATTTTCCTGCTTAAATCTCAACATACTATTGTTTAGGCATAGTGCGAAGGGTAAAAGGATTGACCTACTGTATATTTCTCGAGTGGGAAGCGTAAAATCCTTAGTTCATAGTACGAGATTTTTCAATGAAAACTACTGACTAAAATACTAGCAAAACAATCGCTTTGAAAGAGTAAACTGCTTAGTGACTGTTTGCTTCATAATGCATGAAATGGTGCATATACCATCGTTGCATTAGTTAGGGGTTTGCCTCATGTTACAAGGTGGGTATTGATCAATCGAAACACCGCCCGAGATAAACAAGCATATGGCATCCTACGTATTAGTATACTTTATTATCACTATGTACTTCCGAGGAGTTTGTTAGTGAATGGATTTCCGAATTCCGCTAGAAACTTTTGTAATTGGTACAGTCCATCATGAAAAAGTCCTATAATATTAAGAATATAATAACTAAAATGTAAAACTTTAAAATCCGTTTATTTCATCCTTTGCTATGTTTGAAGTGGAACTTTATCAATGTCCACTGTTTTCTCGTTTACAAGGCTATTTTTCATTAGTTGAGCGTGAGTTCGTGTTCTTTAAAGTTGTACTCCCTAACGCATAAGGGTTAATAGTTTTATGATACTACTTTTGTCTCAATATTAAGAAATAGCCCAAAAATTTAACATCTCCTTTTCAGCTCCATCACCACCTATTGTTGTTAGCGCTTCCTTTTTGGAAACAAAAGAGGTTCTAGTAAACTGGACGTGTTCAAATGAATGTTCATCTACGGTAAATAGTCCAAAGTTTTCTGTTTGTTGGTACTTTCAATCTTTTCCTTTTGAGCAAAAATGTTTACGCACTCAGACATCAAATAAAATGAAGTCGGCTTATTGTTATTGTGATGAACATCAAGAATTTCAATGGGTGAGTACGTGGTATTTGTAAAGATTTTATTTCTGTTACTTATTGTTTTTTTAATGTTTTTGTCAGTGTCTATGAATGCGTTTTCGTTATGCTAAGGTTAATTATGATCTCAATAAAGCAAGCTGCTTTTTATCCCATAATAGTAAAAGTTTATTAAATGTTCACGTACTAAATAGTCATCAGTGCTACTACTGAACATATAATTTCACGAATTAATAGTTAAATTGTGTATATGAGTTCACCTGACCATTGAAATTAGTTATCATTGTGTCTACTGGTCAATTATAACAGGTTGTGAAGATTTTAAGTTAAATTTCGATCAGTTTAAGAATAGAATAAAAGTTATAGCCGACCAAACTAAAACATAGCATCAGTCCATAAGGTACTTGACTGTTGGTATGGGCCGTGTGTGAAGATGTAGGCTTCCATGTCAAGGTCTGCTTGACAACCGAATCGGCTAGCCGATATGACATAATCGATTTCAGTGGCACAGATGTGTCCACACATAATCTTATTTGTCATATTGGATTTTATTATTGTATCGTTCCTCCTTGTTCTCTTTTCACGGTGTTTTTACCCTTTTTTGACTTCTTTCTTCCTTATTTCTCTATCCTTCATCTTGGCACATTTTCACTTGAGGTACTGATATGAAATGTAGCAACGCATCTCCAGGCTCTTCTCTACCATCTAGAGGTTCTCTGGGTAGTATCTTCTAAAGCTCCCACTCATTGATTTTGTTTTTCTCATGCGCTCTAACCGGAGCCGTAATATAGGTCAGATCGATGTAGATTTTATGAATTGGTGCTTTTATTGTGAACTCAAATGGCTTCTTTTTCACCTATTCCTACCTTGACTAATGTAGCATTATCAGGTTAGGTTGTGACTAAGTCTGCGTAACACATGTCTTGATGCCTTAGTTGATAAATATTCGTAGCTTTACCCGCTTAACTCCTGCGTTATTTCGACTTTCATTCCACTGCAAATGAACGATGCTACTTAGGAAACGATAGGCCAATATTTATGATCTTCCCTAATCCCCTACTAATGTAAGTCGCTGATTGGGTTAGTCCTTACTCTTACCATGCAAATGTCTCAATTTGAGTGCAAGGTCATTTTTCATGTGTGTACTTATTTACGTGTTTGGGGATTGATTATTATATTATACTCTCGGAGTAATAAACTTTCCCATCATCCAGCTTCAGTCTTCTCTCTATTCGTCCCTGTGTTGCAGTCAGTGGCTCTTGCGTACTAAGCTGTCAGCTAAGCATGTGTATTATATTCGTTCGGGATATATAACTGTTGTCGTACGAAAATATAACACCTACCTCTAGACTTCTTTAATTTCGTGATATCATTGCATCTGTTATTTCTCTCTTTTGCTGTGAATCAATGCCTTATAATAGCAATCTATTAAGCATAAGCTCTCAATGGTTGTCATGTATCTTACTCGCTAGTTTTCTAAACCTAATAGATATGATCGTGAGCCCCTCTCTACTTGTTGTTGATTATATGGTGTAGTTGTGGTGGTGAAAAGCTGTTGAAGTCATCATCAACATAGGACCAGGCATTACTGCGTAGCGGTCCGAGATGCCACAGCTCATATCAGCACATCAAGTTAAAAGGCAGTGAAGCGGAAGATAAAGAAAACTCAGTCAAAAGAAATATAAAGTAATAAAAGAGAGAAAGGAAGAATGAGAAAATGGTGAGGTTCGGTATAGCGTCGTTGAGATGAGGATATTGTGTGTATACATCTGCGCCGCTGACTTCGATTCTGAGCCATATCACCTAGAGTCTCCAACCACTGGTTCCTCTTGTCCTGCGGATCCAAACCGGCTAGTCTGCATCTCCCCACATCACTCAAACCAATAGTCAAAGACTTCGTACATTGATGCCATGTTTTAGTCTGTCCGCCTCGGGCCTTTTTCCAGCCTGGACCTACTTTGGCCAACATTGTATGACAAGGCAGACGGCGACTAGGCATACGTAACACATGTCCCAACTATCTCAGTCGATGAAGGTTCACCATCGTGTCAACTGACTGACCTCTTCTCCCTAAAACTCCACACCCGACGTCTGCGTTACTCACGTGGTGACACCACAGAATACGGCCTATACTACGAAGGCAACTGTGGTCAAACACCTGAAGCCAGTCTTCTCATGTCTTCCACCTTGAATGGCCATGTTTCACAGCCATGAAGTAGAACAGACCGGACTGCTGTGCAGTACACGCGACCCTTATTGGAATGTCACGGCGGCGCCACAGTGGCGTAAGTTTGCAAAAGCCAGCCGAACCGTTTGTATTCGTGCAGAAATGTCGTCGGCCACTGAGTCAGCCACCAGGGCTGATCCTACTTCCCAGGTAAGTGAAGTGGTCAATGCACTCAACCTGTACACTCTATTGTTATCTGTGGCACCGTTGAAGACCAATTCTGGAGCAACAATTTGTATTTGAAAGGTGAGAACCGCATCCCAAACATTCTCGATTTCCCACTCAAAGTGTCCAGAAGACTCTACATCTTGTCAGCGTCTTCACCTAGCAGGACAATGTCATCTGCACATTCTAGGTCTAACAAAAATTCTCCAGTGATTAGGTCAACGTCTGTGTAACCTGGTGACGAGAGGGAGACCTACATAAGAATATCTATGATAAAATTGAATAAGAATGGAAAGGGTGGACACCCTTGATGGACACCACTCGACGAGTACAGCTCCCCGGATATCTCACCATAAACTCTAACACGCACACAAGTATTCGAGTAGATAGCCTTCAATAAGGTGATGTACTTACTCGGCACTCCTTTCAGTGAGAGACATTTCCATGAGACTTCTCGATCAATGGAGTCGAATGCTACCTTCAAGCCGAGAAATACAGCTATTGTCGGGCGTCGGTAGGCGTACCTGCGTTCCAGAGCCTGGCGCAGTGTGAATATTTGGTCAATACATCCGGGTCTAAAGCCTGCATGGTTTTCTCAGGCTTGTTGTTCCCCAGCTCCACTCAGGCGTCGAAGAATTATGGAACCTAAAGTCTTAGACACTATGTTCGTCAGGCTGATTCCTCTGTGGTTATCACGAGAGGACTTCTCGTCTTTCTTGAAGACTGGAGTAACCAGTGATTTAGACCAGTCAGTCAGCCAATGTATGCTTCAATATGTTGAGCTCCTCTCATTTTCAACTACCAACGATATAAATACCCTTGATTAATGACTCGATTAGGGTTACGATGTGAATAAATAATGTTTTCCTACATTGATGTTAGTATTTCTATCTACATCATGACAGCTGTGTTAGGATTATGCGGCTAAACAATCTCATAATACACTGTTCTTTGCTTTTATTCTCATGACACATCCTACTCAACTAACCTGCTTATGATTTTTGTATTACAAAGGGGGATGTTTGTAGACAAGTGAACCTCCTTACCATTCGCAAACTTTAAAATTAAAATGCACTGAAATATTTCGTTATTTACTGTCACAAATTAATCATTAAGTTTCAATCTGCATACTAACTGATTGTGTATAACTATTTTAGACCACTTTCCCATTGTCCACTTTTGAAGAAGCAAGATCTGATCGAATAATCTTCACTGTTCGTTCAAATATACCTAGAATAAACTGCACTGATTCCGTGAACTGTGAACTGCAAAGTGAAGACTCCAACATAATAATTCTAGATCTTTGTAAGTATATTAGTTCACTATTATTATGCCACACATTTAATTCCATTTACTATATGATGTACACTTAATCATTTCTTACTTTTTAATTTAGCTTCACTACGACGTCTTCAAGTTACACCAAAATATCTTCCCAAATTCGATAATGTTGCAATTGGTGGAATAGTGTCAATAACTCTTCTAATTTTCTTCTGTGTGATAATTGCAGCATGTTTTGCAAGGTATATATGATATGATTATAACTTCTTTTTTTTCACGTGTTTTTTTTGACACTAATATTTATTTGAAATCCTATTAAATATTTTACTTCTTCAGTTAAAAAAATTCATCTTTGCTTGAGAACAATGAATACACGGTGTGTACATTCATCTCACAATCTTCGTGTGTAAATGCGTTGCTGCGTACAAATGAACTTAAAGCTGTTCTACCTTTTGTATCTCTCAAACTTCTATAGTGGATATCATCACAAAGCATATCTTTCAGCTCTTTTGTACACTTCATACTTATTTTCCAGGAGTTATCGTTACGAGTCACTTATTTTGATAGTTGAATCTAGACAATCTATACATAAGGATATGAATTATTCTATCATGTTAAAGAGATAAGTAACATTGTTTTCAATGGAAATTTCAGAGTATTTCCTTTATCAAAAGGCGAATGATGTGGATATGGTTTATTTTTACGTGATCAAATGGTTGGGAATCGTAACTGTGTAGCCAATTATTTCTACGTGTTTCCCGCTTACTGTGTTGTTTTGTAGACAAGATATCCACCGTTCAATCGGCTAGTTTGCGTTTATGACATACTTTTCTATTGGATTTTGTTATGTTATTATGTCACTACGTAAACATTTGAAGAAACCTAATGTATCTTGTTGACAGAATTAGAAACAGAAGAGAACGTTATGGTTAAGTTGTGTTGTGCTCCAAATTTACCATGCTTCTCATCAACACAGTGACAAGTAACTACAAAGGGGAACTAATGGAATGTAAACAATGATATCGATACTAAGAGGGCTGAATCTCTAACATTCGCTATATTTCTGCGTCAAAAGTTTCGCTGTTTACTTTCGGATTGTAATAGGGTAGTTGGATTTTTTATCAGACTTACATCTAACTAAATTATTTTCGCTGTTATTGGGTTTTAGGCATTAGAAAAGATGTTAACCACTTGAGAAGAACATTATCATTACATCCTGCATACATTTGCCAGTTATTTTCTACTATAGGAGATGCTATTTGGCATCATAGAATTTTAAGCAATCGCTTCGACTTCAAACAAACTAACTGGCAAGATTTGAGATTGTTGACTACTGGTACAGAATTGGTTTGGTTATTATCTTAAGTCGAGGATGGCTAGTGGTATGGCTCACGATTCCTGTATCCATTCCACATATCTATCACTTCCATGTTATTTTCTGGCGCTGTCGTATAGCAAGCTAAACGTCCACACTCTTTTATTCTGCTTTCTAAATTGAATCGAAACCAATTTTACATTGTGACAGCCAGTTTAATAATAATGTAACTTGAAGAAAGACTGATTGAGTGAAGAAATATATTCCTTTTGAATTAGGTCTTCATCTTGGGCTCCACACCGATATATAGGTTTGCAATTTAATCAAATTACCAATCACGTGGTAATGTTTCAGAAATAATGTAAATAATCAATGGAGTTGCTAAAATAGGAAATATGAATATTGATAGAAAAAAGGGGAAGGGGAAGAGGTGTACAAAGTAAACCTAGAAGTAACATCATGTTGACGGCCACGGTAATGAAAGTGGTTGGACAAACTTCTTTTGGATACAAAGGCTAAGTTTGTGAAGGTGGATTGCAATCGCCTCTACTATGTGAAGTAACCGAGTGCGTAATCCATGAGGTAAATTAATTGGAATCTGATGGATGATTTTGAAGACTTTTCCAGTAACCACTTGATGTCCTGTGTGAACTAAGTGTGCAAGTATGGAGCTCTTTATAGTTGTAATTTGTCTCCTGCTCAACCATGATTGATAGTGCTCAGAAATTCGACTATGGAACTGCTTCATTGTACGCCCAATGTAACTCGCTCCACAAGAGCAGTTGAATTGATAAATGCACATAGAAGTGGCAGAATCAGGCAGTTTGTTTTTATTTCTTGCACGTAGAATGGGGCGGTTGTAGAAGGTGGGACATAATTTAGCGGCTGGGAATGCTTTATGCAAGACTCTTTTTATGCGTTGTGTGATGATCTCACTGGCAATGTCACTGTTAAATTGCAGCTTCAGGAAGATTTGCTTCTTAGGAGCTGTTGGCATTGTTGTCTTAACCCCCGTAATATTCACATGTTTAGTTGAAAACTTGTCTGGGTATCCATTCCTACTAAGCAGATCACGGATGGTGGCGCACTCTTCTTTTATAGCATCCCGTGAGCAAGTAGCTGATGCACGGTATGCTAAGCATTTCATTAGGTTCCTTTTGTATTGGAGGGGTATGGCACTAAATAGGTGCGTGTGTTGACCTGTTGATGTTAGCTTTCTATAAACACTTTGTTTCAGGGTTCCATCTAACCTTCTTACCAACAGAACATCAAGAAATGGGATACTGTCAATTTTTTCCTCTTCCATTGTGAAGTTGAACTGTTTTATGCACTGCACGTTTCATGCTATTAAAACGTTTTTCTCAACAGAATGCTTCATTTTTTTTCTAGTCGAGTGCATTCTTTCACTGTCATGTGTCATGGAACCGCTTCTTGCTATCGCAAAGCAGATACATCGGCTAAATACCGTCGTGCCATACCATTTCGTCTCAGCAAAAGCACGTACAAGGCTATTTCAAGCACTGAATTTCGTGTCCATGTTGATGCTTGTCATGCTGATGATGATGCTGGATTCCAAGCTGAGTTCGAAGTGAGTTTCTTGTTTATCCATATCCCTGCATTGTTCGTTTTGTGCCAATTGTCAGTGATATAGGGATTTTGTGTTAAACGATGCTTGCTGTAATCGTAAACTCAAAAACGCTGAAGTCGCACTCAGGCATCACTCATAGTCTATTATTGATGTTTTTATACAAAGTTATTGAGTTCATTACAAACTTTTAGTATCCGCCGTTGTTTAATAAAGTTATTCGTTGCTTAATGAGCTTACTGGTTCCTTTTTTTCCAGCTACGAGAATATGATTTTCAGGTTTTCTTAAATTGTAGTTGTTTTTCTTAGTGTTAAAAAGCTTTTTTCTTTCATTCACAAACATTAGGCATTGGAGCAGAATGTACAAACAGACTGGTCGACATCTGTTGCTCGATCATTAGAAAATATCTCAAAAAATCGATATTCCAACATTTTGGCATGTAGGTTTTTCACATCACTTTTATTCTTTATTGACCTATTTATTATGGTATTCAGTGCAAGACGATAAATATGATCTAAAAGGCACTAATGCAGACCTCATTTTTAATTGATTATGATTCATAATAGCAATACAAAGGTACACATTCGTCAATAGCTGCCACCTACACTCGATACTGAAAATCAGATGACTAGAAAGAATAAGCAACAAAGAACTCTGGGAACGAAGCATCGAAGCAAGAACCTATAACCCAACAAATATGTAGAAGAAAGTGGAGATGGATTGAGCATACACTGAGATGGTCGATCGAGTACATCGCGCGCCAGGCCGTCGAATGGAATCCAAAAGGGAAACGATGAGTTGGGCATCCGAGGTGAGGGTGACATAGAGGAGATCATGTGAGGAAGAAATGAAAGCTTGTGGGCAGACGTGGAGCCAAGTTGAAAAGACTGCAGAGAAAAGAGTGCAATGAAGGCGTGCTACTGAAGCCCTATGTTCCACTAGGAACCGAAGTCGATAGAATGAATCGAATTTTATATGCCTTATTGGTGTAGTTAGGTGCTTGAATTTCAGAAAGTTTTCTGAGACATAAAATTGTATTTCACCTTCCGCGTTGGATAGCTGTATATTATCGAAAGCCTTTATATCTTAAGCGTAACTTACAACTCAGTATATAAACGGTGTACTAGGCTGACTGTTCATACAGTCGTAAAATGAATGTCACACTTGCATTTCAAAAATGGATGATTAGTACCTTTTATACATCATTATTTTTCAGTAAACTGATGCAATTTTTTAAAGTCACTTGTTTAGATCTATACGTTTTTTCATATTCTGAAGTATTTAGATACTTTGAGGTTCCTGCTAAAAATTATCGAAAATCGAATTGAAATACACTCAGCAACCTTGTGCACATTCTTGCAGTAAGTAATAAGCCATAGATATGAGAGCAAATGATACTACCTGGTTACTCAAACCTCGGTAGATAGAGCGAGATTTGAACTCGTGACCTATTGGTCGAAAGTCATCTCCTTAGACCAATGACCCACAGCTCCGCCAAGAAATTACCGCTTTCACCGAATAGTGTTCATTACGTCACTGAAAATCGTTCACTGACTTATTGATATCATTTTCACCAATTCACTTTGGATTGACTCTGTACCAGTTGTAAAATATATTTATTCGTATTAAAACTGAATATCGATTTTTGCAGAGATATATTCAGCCTACTTGTTTAAAGATTTTTAAGTTCCTTTTAAGGAAGTATACGGTTTTAGAGGTTTGCTGTAGACACGTTTAGAAGCTGAGGTTTATACACTTTTCTGTAGTATGCACTACGTATTTGTTTTATCCTACCACTTATTACAAATATATACATGTATATTAAATTTCATAGTCGTTCTCAATTACCCTGTATGTACTGGAAATGTTGTTCGCTGGCTTGAACACTTAACATTCGAAAAACAGGTACCTAGTTCAAACCCCGTTCCACCTACTTCGACCCCGCTAACCGGGTAGTATTATAAATATGTATACAAAGTAGAAATGAGTTGGTTTGTTATAATAATCAACTACCGACAGAATGATATTCTTTTGTTAATAATGCATAATTTTCGATCTCCAATAATAATTTTTCAGATGATCATTCAAGGGTCATACTTAAAGAAACTGGCACAAAAAGTGACTATATCAATGCTAACTATGTGGACGTAAGCAATAAGTCTTTTGTTAATTGTTTATGAATAATCGTTTATGTATGTCTGTGGTTCATCGTCAGTCTAGGCAGTTGAGCAACTAGCAGGCCTATAGGCTTGACCCCCCCCCCGCACTTCACCAAGATATGGGCAACCAGGTGACATCATCAACCCATATTACAATAGGCTAGGCTCTTTGCTCACTGCACATACTGCATATAGTAGCTAGTTACATTGTTCTTTGACTCATTATTATTTTATTGTAGAATACTTTTTCAAGCTCCACTCTATTATTCATTTGATTTCTTAATTAAAAGGTGTGAAATACATCGTTAACAGGTAAATAAACTGCCGTGTTTTCTGCACTGATGAAATCTAAAAAACTGCATATACCACTACCTGTCACTTATGAGAGATCGGTTTTCTTTCATACACATGTGGAGATGTAACTGATTGACTTGAGCATTCGACTTCCAATCATTGGACCCCAGGGTTCAAATCTTATTGCATGTACTTTTTCCTGAGCAAACAAGTAGTACCATAAGCCCTATCGCCACAAGTTTGACTTATATGGTAGCACACATGAAGAGTACTGCTCACTAAAAGCAACTTTTACAATTCCAAAGTAGTTTTCATCATAAACTAATGTAAGTCACACAAGCGTTAAAAACCTGAGAGCAATGAACAGCTGTTTACTCATCGTTTGGAATCCCTCAGTATTTTGCACGTCTGACTATGTAAGAGATCGAACCGAGGATCATTTTATCTCTACTAAAATTAAGCGATAATTCATTGTAAAACCATAAATAGCACATTTAAAAATTGGTTTGATCCGGGGAACTACAATTGAAAAATCAAGCAGATGACGAAAAGAACGGAGAAGAAACATCCTTCGATAGAAGTCTGCCAAGATTTGGAAACCACGAGCATCGGAAGGGGAATAAAAACAAGTGACTACTTAGTCAACTTTTCCAAACAACCTCTAACCAAGTACGAGGAACTTCTCCTTCAGAAAAAGGACTAAGTTAAAATATGGAAGACTCTTCAGGACTAGAATTCTTCGCATCCCTATTGTCATCACTAAAAGCTTCATGACCAAACTCTGAGGCCAAACAGAAAATACGACAATTAGTCATACCTCTAACCAGGTGGAAACAAAACCGTACTCAACTAACCATTGAAGAACGGAGAGCTCCAGGATTAAACCATCCAGTTCAGAGAACACAATACCATCACTATTATCCTCCTGATCTACAAATATTCACCATCATCTTAAAAAAACACTAAAAAGAACCAGGTGATTTGTTAAGTAATACTCTATATTCGAGCGACGAGTATTTAGTTATGGTTTCAACTGGTATACCTAAAAGTGCTGTGATGCTACCAAGATCACCTACCTGAAGATTCTGAAATAGCACCGAACGCCTTCTTGATTCACGAGTTGTTTCCCTCTTGTGCTTATCCTACTGTACTTATAAGAAAATGTGGATTTGAACGAAGCAAGAATAGGATGATATCATTTTACTTCACCGACATATATCAGCTGCATACGACCTAAAATTACACATTTTAGTCGAGACGAATAACAATTTATAGAAGAAGAGATCGAAAATAATAGATCTATTAAAATGTCAAATGAACAATGATTCAGAGGAAGAATTATTATTTATTATTAGAGCATAAACTTGATGCAACATGGCCTCCAAGAGATGCGCCATACAAAATAACAAAGCAGCATTATAAAGATACGGGAAACGGAGGAGAGAGTGGAAATAAAGACAGAAGTGAAATATTTAGGAAGTAATCTCAAATTTGCATCTGAAGAAGCATTCACTGACTTCGTTTGCTCTTCAGTTATAAGAGAAACAAAAAAAAACTGCAGCATGGTCGCTACTGATTTCGATTCTGCAGCATGTCTGCTATTGTCTCAAGCCATTGAGTTGCATGATCTTTTAAAGCCTCATCCACAGCTTTATGACGCATATGCTGATCCTAATCTAACACAACCATTGTTCATCCCATGGCTGTGTGTGATACAAGCGCCATCACTGCTTTCAGCCGGTCCTAGTACAAACAAACAGTAAGCTATTTGGAAGCCGTCGAAGTCGGTGTTTCAAGATGACCATATTCAGTGAAACGATCCAAGCGTTCCTGCAGAGAGAACTGTTATTGAGAACCCAGAGTCATCAAACATCCTCAACTCAAGAGAAGGAAGTTGCTAATCAATTGAAAGGACACATAAGCATACAGATAAACAGAAAACATTAAAATAAGCATGATCAAAGTTCAATAGATAGAAAGGGAGGTATGATGTAGAACCAAGAATAACACCGAACTAAGCTCATCGCGATCCCTTTTTTTGTATTCAGAGGTCAGGTTTGGGTGCAAGGGTTTCTCTTCAATAAACCGTAGTAAACTTGACAATTTTTGTGTTTACTTATTATCCTGAAGGCCTCTTAGATACCTACTTGATATCCAGTTTTTATCAGGTGTCTGTTTATCACACTTTAAAAATTTTGCTCAATTTTAAGCGTAAATTTCTTAAAATCGAGGAGATGCTCTATCAGAGTTTCCTATGCATCTGCTTCTATAAGTACAAGTTACCTGGTTATAAATATAGATGAAGGGGATATGAGAAAGGTATTTATCAGGTTGAGATGGACTGAGTATTAGCACATAGTTTTGTAAACTGGACATGAAATAAATTTATCCAGTGGTTTCAGGATAATAAATAAACAAAAATTGACCAGTTTACTACGGTTCATCGAAGCTCTTGCAGTCAGATATTCAAACTTGATTTTTGTATACAAAAAAGCGACTGCGATTAATTTTTTCCTATCTCATTAAATCGATGTGTTTTTTTGGTTATATCATGTCTTTCTTCCCATCTAATCAGTTCTAATCACATTTATTTTAATATTTTCTGTTTATTTGTGCGCTCATATGTTTCTTCAGTTCCTTAGTAACTTCCCTCCCTTGAGTCGTTGTTTACCTATTATTATCAATCTAATCTATAAAGTATCATTTGTCTCAACTAAAATATGTATTTTTAGGTTGTATGCGGCTGATGAATACTGGTGAAATAAAATGACATCAAATTCATTCATTCTTGCCTTGTTCATATTTCTTAAGGGAGAATAAATGTATGAATTATTGGGTTTTCATGCTAAATAATACTTATTTATATTTTTGTCTTATTTAGGGCTATCATCGTCGTGCAGCATATATAGCTGCTCAAGGTCCTATCCCTTCTACATTTGATGATTTTTGGTTGATGGTATGGGAACAAACTTGCAATGTCATCGTTATGATATCTAACTTTGTTGAACGTGGTAGAGTAAGTTCATTTAAAAAAAACAAAATAAATACCGACCAACTTTATTCTGCTTTTAGGTGTTGATGTTACGCATACTGAATGAATGCATATATGTCTGTTGTTTTTTATTATTTTCATAAATCCTAAGGGTTCTCTGTTGAAATGTAGTCATCCTTTAGCAGTAATCAAGTTTACAATTGATTTACCTCATACTTATTTAAAAATTTTCTGTATACACAATCTATTTCATTTTGTCGTAAGATAGTCATTCTTATCAGAGTTCTTATCGCCATTCAGCAGTGAACCTAAGTTCTGTGCTAACCTTTACCAAAATGTCATACATTTGTGTTTTTAACTTGGTCTCATTACTAACCATGTTAAGTCTTTTGCTTAACCCGCAGTTGATTGTGATGCCGAAGAGCTGACGTGATTAAGTAATTCAACTGTATGATTTTGTCAACTGCACTAACCTAAACTTTGTAACTATTAGATGAGTGTCACCTACAGTTATGTCTTCTGTATCAAGGGATACATGCTACTGAAGAGGCTCAGTATGAAAAAGTTCTCTTTTTCTGCGCTTACATATGATAGTTTAATGGTCTTGTATGAAAAGTGACCCTTTTGCTTGTCAGTATCGTTCTTTCCAAGCAATTAGATACCGAATACCCTATCATCTAGGTGCTCCCTTACAGTTTATAAGATTTCTGGTGAGATTTCAGAGTTGAACTAAAGCGATAAGATTTTTTCTACTTGGCATTTGAAACCATCTAATCCACTTGAATCAACCGAAACTTTTATATTACAGAAGGTATATTTCTGAAATGTAGCAGAAGGTGAAAAAACACTTAACATTCTGTAAGTATTTCTAATGTTTTAATGACTTATTCCAACATTATTATAGTTCTAGTCAATTCCGCACCATTTTATTATGATAAAAGTATGTATGAACACAAAAAAAGATTTTGGAACTAACCAAGTCTCTAAATCATGTTAAACAGCCCAGTTACTACATAAATACAGAATTCAGACTCTTTGCGTTTTCATCATTCCAATCAAAGTTAACTATTTCACTATCTTTCTCATTCAATTAGTTTATAATATATTGAAAAATGAGATGCCTAATGCGAAATTTATTTGATTCTAATTTCATTTCGATATTTTAGCGTCTGTATTTGTCTACAAGCTTGTTTTTTTGACACACTTAAAATCACAGTTCTTTTCCATAACAGAGGGTTTATATTCTCTATTGCTTTTAGTATGTGTGTGTGTGTGTGTGACTACTCTATTAAATCAACATTTTGTTTTTGTTAAACCATTTTAGCGGAAATGTGACAAGTATTGGCCTAGTTCAGGTCATCAAACGTATGGTAACATTTCAGTTCGTATGGTTTCCGAAGTTGTACGGGCTTTTTTCACTATTCGAGTCTTCTCAATCCGCCACATCAAAGCCAAACGTGTAAATTTTATAATCTTTAAAAATAAATTTAATTTGTAACATTTTTAAGTCAAGCTGACGAAGATTACGTGCTTAAATATCAGAGAGGAATGGTACTAGACTAGACAACATGATGTAGGTTGCTCTCCAGTGACAGATTAATGTGTTTAATCCAATCCTACAGGAGATCAGTAGCAGCCGAATGATTATGTCGATGATTACAGCACTAGGTGATGCAGGTTCGAATCTCACAAAAGACATCAGTTCTTCCAAGGCTGCAGGATACTCCATGCTGACAAGTTTCAGCAAGCACGAAACCTAGGTTCACAGCTTCCTGCCAATTACCTCCAATCAACTAATACACACAAATTTCTATTAATTCCAACTATTTCTTAAACTGTTTATGGTAAAAATCGGTCTTCTTTCGCTTAGACTTTAAGTGATAATTGTAGGTTATCGATCAAAAAATATGGACACGAAGTAAATCAATAGTACCTTTTAGTCTTCGTCTTTTTCAGTCACTTCACAGGTAATCGTAAACCTAATCCCTATGCTGCCTATCACTCATATGTCATGTGTATATGCAACTTTGAAGAAACTCACACCCTGAATTTTGGATGTTCAACAGTCAGTCCTACAATCAGCATCTTTATAACTAGAGCATTCATACCGCAACCGGTTTTCTCTAAGTATTTAATGTAGCAGTTTATCTTACATTTTATACTCATGATATATAATTGATATTCATTCTGCTAGATAATTTGTATATTTTCTTCAGGGTTCTAAAGATCGTTTAGTCTATCATTATCAGTACACAGATTGGAGGGATTTTGATGTACCTCCATCTCCTCTTCCTGTACTTAAATTTGTTGAAGCCTCAATTACCCACTGGACATTTGAGAAAGGTCCAATTGTTGTTCACTGCAGGTATGTCTTTTACGTATACTGTATATAGTTTGTGCAGTCACCTTTTTGGTTTAACATGTTTCCTGGGCATTTTGAAATATACATTTTTAGGCTTACCATACCACTTGAGTAATTTGTTTGTTTATTCCATCTGTTTTCCTGTTATTCAGTGCTGGTGTTGGTCGGACTGGCACTTATATTTGTATTGAAAGTTTGATACGTCAACTGAGAGTGGAACGAGCCGTTTCTGTTCGAGGATTTCTAGAGCATATACGTCAACAACGCATGAAACTTGTGCAAACAGAAGTAATTTGTTTTGTTTTAAAAAAATGATACTTTGGTATTACTATGTAAACTTTGATTGATAAATTTTAATTGACTCAGATTCGTAGAATTTTATTTGATATTTATCAGATATTCAGCATTGTGTAATTCGTTGCTTTGTAGGAAACTTTCTAACCTGAAGTCAGTGGGAATTCAGTATTATTTCTTATCATTTCAATGTTTCTGTACCTATAGTGTGTGTTGTACATTGTGCTTATTTTCCACGGTATTCATTTTTACTATTCTTATTTCGACATACACGTGATTTAGAATTAGAGTTGTGCAGATGATGAAAATCATATTAACGTATCAACTTTACTCTCGTTGATAATATATTTTTTATAAGATTCTTCAGTTTCTTTTCCTTGACTGGCTATGAGGAACTATTTTCAACCCTCTTCCCCTTCTCGTTTTCTAAATTACTTTTACTCCAATTGATCTCTTGATGATATTCTCTAAAAACTGTCAATTTATTGAGTCAGGACTAGTTCAAAGTAGTAAAACTGACTGGGATTAGTACTTTAAAAAGTTTAGACTGACTGACAAAATTAACGTAGAACCTCGCATACAGATGCAACGTCTTGAGTTGTCACACTTCATAGTAGTATACAAAGAACAAGTGGATAGAAAATTAGTGATATGAAAGTAGATAAAGTTATGTGAGAGAATAGACATTGAAGATAATGGTTAGTGCAAACATTGAAGCTTTAGACGAAGTCAAGGAGTGAATACATCTGCACCATTGTGATTGATTTTCAGCCACGTCACCACCAAAAGTTCTCAACCCCTGATTACTTTCATCTCAAGGACCCCAACCACGCAGCCTACATCGCCCCCACACGACTCAGACCAATAGAAAGAGACTTTGTCGACTGGTGGCACGTCTGGCCACCTTGATTCCTTTCTCAACCTAATCCAACTTTCTGTAACACGGCACGTTGAGGTAGGTGGTGGTTTGGCATGGGTAGTACATGTCTAAACCACCTCAACCGATAAAGATTCACAACCTAATCAACGGACTTACCTGTCTTGCCTAACACTCTTCACTTGACCTCGACATTGCTCACACGGCAATTCCATCAAACGTGAGGACTACTACGAATACACCTGTGATCAAGCACCTGTAATCGCCTTAAATCTACTTTTCATGACCATGTCTCATAGCCGTATAACAGGATGGAAGAGACTGCAGAGCAGCGTAATAAGCCTTTCACAGATAGTCAGATATCTCGTTAGTCCGCGCCACAGATGATGCAAGTTGGCGAATGCCAAACAGACCTTCTGCATCCAACCTCAGATTTCATCATCAACTAGCCAGTTCGGGTTGATGCAACCCCCCAAGTAAGTGAAATGGTCGGCATATTTCACCATTTCACTCACTGTCATTAAACTAGGAATGGTTGCAGACCACTCTTGAAGTATCATCTTACATTTGACAGATGCGAAACGCATGCCAAACATACTCAGATTTCTGCTCAACACGTTTGGAAAACCCCACATTTTGTCAGCGTTTCCATCTAACAGGACAATGTCGTCTGTATACTTCAAGTCAACCTGATGATCAATCAGTAAGTCAGACGATATTTCCATTAGAACGTCTATGATGAAGCTAAGTAGTCGTCATTTCTGATGATAACTTTTAGAAGTAGGGTAAGAATAAAACGACCAACTTGAGTAAGACTATAAAATAGTCATGTAACTATTTCAAAATATTGACTTCAGTAAGCAGATTCAGGAGTGTTCATCATGCAAATAAACAATTAACATCTGTGATTATTCATCGGATTCCCTAGTATGCTGTTTATTCACACCTAAACACGTTCAAAAAGACCAAGATAATTTGGTGAATTTAGACGTTAGATCACTTCAATTAACGCGATTGTTTTGTAGCAGCCATTTCAATTCATATTTGAAAATACCTATGTATAATCTTGTTTCACAGTATAGTCTTTTCAAACTCAGTAAGTGTTATCTTCTCTATTTCCTCTCACCACCCTGATTTAGCAACAGTATGCCTTTATTCACGATGCATTACGTGAATACATTCTCTATCCATGTCATTCCATTCGTCCACTGCACTTCAGTGACTACCTGAGACATTTATATGAACTAGACTCCTCTGGTATGTCGAATATGCAGAAACAGTTTGAAGTGAGTCTTCATCTATTGATATGTATTACTAAGTTGATGCACTTTTCTCGATCATGTACTACGTTGATCTATCTCTCCATATACCGAGTTGCCTTGGCTCTGTTACGTTCTCTGAACTGGGTTGTTTAATCGTGGAGCTTTCATCGTCTTTTTAAACGAGGTCATCAGCACTAACTTCAATATGAAATGATCTGTCAATATCTCCGTGAGTGATTCAGTAGCTTGTCGTGATGAACTGATTCGTGATTGGTTGTTTCCTCTGATTGTTGTGTCAATGACTACACAAGTTTTTCTATCGGCTGTTCCTCTGCTTGACCTCTGACCTTTCTGTCGTTTATCATTTTTCTCATTAGTTGATAAGTTAGGTCTATGTCTATTGATTGCTGACTGACTTGAATGCCAAGCTTCTACGAATTCTTTGATATTCTTTGTGTTTACTCTCTCCCTCCAACATTTCTACATTGTCAAAAGTGAATTCATATCCATAGTTATCCACGTGCAGTGAAATGAGAGATGAAATATCGTGACGTTTAAATAGCCAATTGGTATTCATGTAAACGAAGGAGAAGAGGGTGACCGCTTTGTCCAATGTAGTGTTGACTTCAGTTATTGCATTTGATTTTGTAAATGATGTTTGGTTTGTCTTCTTTGGTTGATGCATCATTTGGTCGGAATAATAGTGTTTGCAGAGAATTTGTCGGTTTATGAGCCACACCAATTCCAAGTAGTTTCAGCAGTAGTTCTTCTCCTGATTTCCGATACATTCTTTATGTATGTTAGGACGATGCGTTGTTGATTTCTGTCGATGACTTTGTAGTTGATGTTGTACGGGATAGGCATCTTCTGATAAAGTTTCATGGGCATGGGTAGCCGTTCTTCTTTAGGGTGAACATCAAATAATTTTCTTCGTTTCTCCGTGAAGTTGTTGTGCCGCAGTGTGTTTTTGCTCTTTTGAATAGAGTCTACACAACTAATTTTGTGCGTTGTTGCTACTGTAGTTGAGGATTTGGCTAGTGTGTTTTAGTTTCCTGTACACTTGGTTTTCCAGCTTTCCGGCATTTGTCCTACTGACTGAAACATCCGGGAATGGTAACTGGTTGTTCGACTCCTCCATTGTGAATGTGATGTCATTGAAAACGTTGTTGATCAAACTGTTGAGTGTTTTCTATATCATCCTTTTTAATGGTGACAAAAGTATCGTCCACATAGCGAATCCAGATTTTTGGTTTGATGACAGGTAGAATGATGACTTCCAGTCTCTACATCACTGCTTCTGCAATTAGTCCAGATATCGGTGATCCCATTGGAGTTCCTTTCATCTATTTGCACATTTTGCCTTCGAATTGGAAGTGTTTTGTCAGATAAAGTTTGATGAGTCCCATCAAACTTGAAGATTTAAGTCTTTTGTTTTGTTCGTTCTGAAAGGCTTGTGTCTCCAGTGAGCAGGATGGACATAGTCTTTTTGGTCAATTAGGGTTCGATTGATGTGTATAATGCTGTGACATTGAAGGATGCCATTAATTTGTCGTTTTCGATATTAGTATTTTTGATTTTTTCTAAGAACTCTGTTGGCGATCAGGGCAAGCTGCTGAATCACTCATAGAGAGATATTGATAGCTCACTTCATATTGAAGTTCGTGCTGATGATGTTTTTTAGAAAGACGATGTAACCTCCACGATTAAACAACCCAGCTCAGAGAATACAATACAACCAAGACCATCCACCTGAACTACAAATATTCTCCACTATTTCAATATCGAGTTGTGTTTACCAATTATTCTTCATGTATAAATCAGATACATGAAATGTTTGGTTTAGAGCAGTTATTGTTTCGTTACCCCCCACCCCACATGTTCATTATTTAGACCACTGTTTTTATTATTTTTTTGAAGATGTGTATGGATTTCGGATACGATTCTAGTGGTTCTATCCACTCACCATCTTCACTCATGGATCAAACGAAATTGCCTATATCTACAGGTAACTTGCGACTTATTTTGTTCATAGGCTAATGAGTAACAAATGAGTACACATTAAACAAGTGTGATATTTTTCGCAAATGGTTATTTATTTGGGTTACCTTCATTCAAGTTTATGTATATGAAACGGTTCTTTGCTGTTATTCGTGAAATTCATACAAAGCGGGTTTTTTGACAACCCCTGAATCGCCTCCATCATATATCACTGAATCACCTCCTTACTGTGGTATGAAATATGACAGATTGAATCGATGTACTAGGTCTTATGTTGTTTATGTCTGACTAGAACCGTGAGCAAGGAAAGTTATTGGCATATGAAAGCTCCAAGTATTCAGCTGTCATAACCCTCGTAGCATTGCTCGTCTGTCATTGAGTCAGTTAATGAGAAACGTAGAGGTTAGACGTATATCCTTACGTGAAAGCGGTAAGTCAGTTGATAAACTTGTAAATTGTAGTCAAGTAAGGTGACTCCATATTGTGCTGGTTATCACCGAGTTACCCTCTACCTCTATATAAGGTTACCATAAGAAAACGTCATGTGGCAGTATTAGTTCATGGAGTCTTTAACTGTTGGTGTGAGCCGTGTAGGGAAGTGTAGTCTTGTGAGTTGTAACCCACGTAGCTACCGAAATCAATGGTTTGAGACTGTACATGATCTGACTTAGAGTCGATCTCAGTTGCTTATATGTTTCTACTTTATCTTTATGATAACCTTCGCACAACACCTCGTGAAAGCATTACCAAGACTTTCCTCTAATCTATCCTTTATACCTCTGAAAACCGGAAACCTACCATTTATAGATGTTCAAACCGATTCGGGATTTGATGGTTTGAATGTCAGTATGTCCATGATGTGGCTGCGTTGGGGATATGACGTGGGTCCTAATAATAAGCGAACGAGATACTTGGACTAGATACGAGTAACACAACTGTTCTCCCCCACACCCTATACTTCACTGAGCCTCCAAAATCAGAAGACAAAAGATGAGCCTGTGACTGACTTAAGGAAGACAATTTTATTTGACAAAAAACATAGTAGTTATTTACAGCTGCTACCCAGAAAATGAAGCCCCTAGATCACCAATCAGATGGATATAAATCAAAGTCTGAAACGAAAATATTTCTACGCCAGCGGCGAATTATCTTGAACGATTTCCACTTCTGGCCACTTCCTGTCACCTCCCCCGTAAAGAGTGTATGACTTCTTTTTAGGGTTTACTCGGAAGGTCTTTGTTCTTCTTTGTCCAAGTGATTTTCGAGCTGGAACCGGTCGAGTCTGATTCACTTCCTGTGTTTCTAGCAGTGGCATGTCGAAGGTAAGGTATCTAGTAGAACTTCAAGCATGATGTCCTGTTGCTTATTACCTGCTGTCTCCGCTGAATCTCGTATGTGGTTCACATGTCGGACCCAAGTTCGTCCTTCTACATTCACTTTTGCACATGACATTTCCTTTACATCCTACTACCTTTCCACCAATCCATTTTGGTGGTTCAAAACGAAAATCGTGTACATAAACTTATTGCTTTAATCTAAACTCTCGACGTACCGCTCAGTGGTGGCGACTGAACTGGTTTTCCATTTTCGTGTTCCTTTGGACATTTTCCGTTCGCTTAGTCTTAATTACACCGAGATCGGTTTTAACTTTTCGACTAAATATGATTTCTGACTTGGGGCTGAAGGATTCGATGTTGTGCGGCAAAGCATCAAACATTTATCCAAAGTTCCTTCCATCATCCCCTCCCCCTTTGTCTTTATGACTGCTCGTTTAAAGGTATCCACAAAGCGTTCTGCTTGACAATCGGATTGGGGATGATATGGAGGGGCACGAATATGTTGAATACAAAACTGACTGCAAAAGTCGGAGAACGCAGATGACGTAAATTATTGAATCCCATTATCACTCACCAAAGCGGCAAAATAGCTCACGCAGCTGTGTCACTGTTGTATTTGACGTAATACACTGCATAGGAATAACTTCTGGTCGTTTTGAATATATATCAAGAAATGCATACCAGCAAAGTCGACATGTAATCGAGACCACGGTATTGGCCAAGAATACAGTTCCGTCTTGCGTGGGCATTTGGATGCCTGTGCACATTTGCTGCATTGTCGAACAACATCATGGATATGTTCAATATTGGACCAGTATACATAACTGCGAGCAATCGGTTTCATCCTACCCATGCCAAGATGCGACGAAGGACATATCTGCGAAGTCTAGCAGGAACCACTACACAACCGGCAAATATTATACAGTCTTTGACAATAGACAAAGATTGACGTCGTTGGTAAAATTGCTTCAGTTCATGAGAATGAACATGTGGGGGCCAGCCTCATCGAATAAAGTTTGAGACTTGTTGCAGAACTGGATCATGTAGGGTGTGATGGGCAATCTGATCTGCAGTCACTGGAAGTAGCTGAGTAGCACATACAAGAGCTCTATTTACGTCATTTTCAACGGAGAGTGATGCAATAACAGCGTCTTCATTGTCTAACTTCTGACTACTCAACAGACGTGATAGAGCATCTTCTTGCCCAAATTCAGAGGTCGGCTTGTATTTGATGTCAAAGTTATATCCCAGTAACATAACACCCCATCTTTGAAGGCGATTTGGAGTATATTTTGCAATCCCTTCCTTTGAACCAAATATGGTCAATAAGGGTTGGTGGTCGGTGGATAGAGTAAACTTCCTGCCATGTAGCATTTTGTGGAACTTTTTAACGGCGAAAATAAGCGCCACTCCTTTCTCAACCTGATTATATTACGTTCAGTCGCATTTAGAGTTTGCGAAGCATATGGAGCGGCTTTCTCTGTACCATCAGGAAAACTGGAAAATAACGGCATCAATGTCATAATCAGATATATCTGCAATAATGATAATTTCTAGATTAGGATCATAATAAGTGAGTAACATATCTGACATAACCAATGATTTTAACTTGTCGAAAGCATGTTGACACTCTGAAGTCCAATTCCATTTCAAATTTTTAGACAGCAAATGATTCAACGGAGCACGCGAATGGTGAAGTTCTGTTCAGAAAACACTATAATAACTGATGAGACAAAGAAAAGATCGTAGTGTCAAAACATTTGGTGGAGAGGGCATATTTGGATAGCACGTACATTCTCTGGATCTGGTCGACGTCCATGTTTATCGAAAATAAAACCAAGTTATTTCACTGAATCCATGAAAAATGTACACTTATCTTCTTGAAGATAAAAACCATATTTAGACATTTTAGAAAGGATGGCATCCAGTCAATCAAACAATTCAGACTTACTGCTGTCTGTGATAATCACATCTAAATATAAGTGCCACCGCAGGTTGGCAAGCATCGTGTCCATGATTTGCTGGAAGATGGCAGATGCTGGTTTAACGCTGAATGGTAGGCGTAAAGACCTCGATGAGTATTGATTGTCAATAGCTCTCTCGAATTTGGTTCGATCTCTACTTGGAGATACGCATCTGCGAGATCGATTTTAACAAGTCATTTTCCCCCATTTAGTCTAACGAACAGATCATCTTGAACTGGTAGTGGATAAGTATGATCTAGGGCATTATTCAAACCAGTTGAAAAATCTACGCACAAGCGAACATAACTATTTACCTTGCGAACAACTACTATTGGAGCGGCCTATTGAGAATATGTAACGGGTTGGAGGACACTTAATGCCTCCAATCTATCCAGCTCATTGTCGGCCAGAGTCACTGCAGCATAAGGGACTGGGCGTTTTGGACGAAATACTAGCTTGATATTTGGTTTCAGAGACAGAGACACTTAGGTGAACTTGTAGTAACCGAGTTTGTCTTGAAAAACGGAGGCTTGCTTCTGACGTAAACATTCCGGCAAAGATTTATCAGGCATCTTTGATGAATAAGTATTATGCGATGACATTATACGAGAACAAACTGAATTCAATGGCACATTTAGGATATCTAGCTTATCTATCCAGTCTAGACCAAGTAGGTCTAAATCATGCCGATTTGTTAGGTAGCAGACATCATTGAATTTATAATCATCAAACTGAACATGACAACTAATCGTACCAATAAGTTTTAACACATCTCCAGAAGCATTTCTAGCGATATGTTCAGTTGGCTGGATCTGTAGGCACCCAAGTGTGCGCCATGTGTTTCGAGAAACTAAAGTGATATCGGGTGCTGTATCCAGTTACAGACGAATAGGTTTACCATTGATGGACAGATGAACATGTTTCCTCTTGCTCTTAAATCAACTTTTGGCTTGATGCGATAAACGACGTTTCAGAGAGCTATGTTTAATTTTCATCGAGTTCTTTGTAGAGGAACAATAACTCTCTTTATGACCCTCTTGATGACACTGGTGGTATTTATGCTTTTTCAACGGATAGAATTTCACAAAGTGCCATAAAGCACAATGCCATCAAATTGAAGGAGGTTTACCTAAGGATTGTAGTTGACGTTGCGTGTGCTAGGTTGTAGATTGAGGGGTTTTCACTACGTTAACTGAACCCAAATCAGACGGCTGGGACTTTTGCTGTACCATAGCTGCATCATGCTTCAGATTGATTAAGTGTTGGCATTCTGCTGTCACCATCTTCAGTGTCATTTTTGAGTCTTGTTCAGATATCAGCATCTTCAGCGTTTCTCAGACCACAAATAAAAATCAAACATTTAAATTGGTTGGAAGTCACTTCATTGACTTTGAATCTTTCACATTCACGATTAACCTTGCCAGCACATGATACAATCATCAGAGGGTAATTTGGATAACTGAAAGCATTGACATCGAATATTAAATAGAGAGGATTGTTTACCAAAAATCTGAGATAGGATACTAATAGTTTCATCGAATGATAATTCATGAGAATTTCTCGGCAGAACGAAATTACCATTTTCATTGTGCTCGATTGTTCCAAGTTTTCCTAATAATAAACGAACTTAAGCCGCATCATCAAGCATAGAACATTCAATGCGAAAAAACATCTTCATATCAATTAAACCATGAATCAAATATGAGACCAGACACTGGATCATAATTGAACTCACTGATAGAATTAAAAATGCTTTCATATTTATCTGCATGAGATGTTGATGGCTACTGAATTGATAATTTCTGAGTAAAGGTTTCAATAAGCTTCAGTTGCGCTGCTTCATACTAAGCTTGTTGAAGTTGCAAAATGGATTTGAGGTCTTCCAGAGAAATAGACATTGTAAAATAAACACCCGTTGCTAAATGATGTGGCTGGCTCCAGCATGTTCATTTTCAATCCAAGTATCTCGTTGCGTTATTTATCTTGTTCACATATTATTAGAACTCACATCATACCCCTAGCGCAGCCACGGGTGTTTTAGGCTGAACGCACATGTGTACATACAACCCTCAATCTGTAATTCACACTTAACATAATACATATGGTCATCATGTTCGTCAACAATTTGACAACGCGGAATCATCCATCCAAATGAACTAGATTTTAAATTCCAATATCCTACAACTTTGATAAAGCTATTAGCAGTGTGTTTTGAGGTTAGCAGGTGGTTTTTAATTGTGAGTTAGTATTCATCACAAACTAATATCAGTTGGAGAACCATTAAAAACCTGGGAGCAATAAACAGCTGTTTCGTTCTAGTATGGGATTCCTCAGTAGTACGGCACTCATGACCTGGTTAGGGATCGAACTCAGGACCATAAGGTTTCACAGTGAACGCGCTAACCATCCAGCCACTGGGTCGGGGTTCAAAGACAGAAGTTGGAAACTGTAAACCAATGACCCCAGACCCAGTGGCTGAATGTTTAACGCGCTCGCCGTGAAACCTGAAGGTCCTGAGTTCGATCCCTATCCGAGTCGTGAGTGCCTACTGCTGAGTCCCATACTAAGACGGAAGAGCTACCCAGTGCTCGCAGGTTCTCAATGGTTCTCCAACTGATGTCAGTCCATGATAATAAATACCTCAAGATCTATTAGCACTAGACAGCGAAACACTTTGTTTTGTTCTACATTCATTAGGAAATATAAATACTGAAATAATCCCTACAACTTACTTATCGGATGTGTGTAGAGAGTAAATCTATTGTATCTTTCGCGTACAACATTTTTGAAAGCGTTGCGTTATTCGCATATAATCATTCTGATTGTAATGTTCACAGTTACTGGCAACATTATCATATTGCAATCCATTTTTAAATTATGCATACTATACTGTATTCTTTTTTAGGCGCTTTCGATAGTTTGGGTATTGACTCTTCCGTTCTTCATGGGTTCTTGAATGTCTGTGAGTACATTGTTACCCGCCATCCACTAGGTAACAATGCAACTGATTTCTGGAAAGTGGTTTGGGATTCCAATTCATCGTTGATTGTATGTTTATCTGACCAAAATCTATCACCGTTTTGGCCTGATGAAATTGAGCAAGTTAGTTATCTTTGTTATCTTCATGATTCTTTTGTCATAGTGTTTATAAACCACTCCTTCAGTCACAATCATTGCATCCTGTTTAGCTTTCATTTCGGATTTTTCAGTGAAGTTAACAGGCATTTGTAACATAACATTGTAAAGTGATCTCTGTGTACTAACTTGTGAATTATGCTTTTGTCTGTTAGGAGCACTTCTCTGTGCCCTCCTGTTTTCTTTTTTCGCCTTCGCTGAAAAGGTTATTAACTTATGACAGGTTTTGCAGCAAGATTACATAACATTGTTTATTTTATCATCCAATCGTTCTACAAAAATCGGAGTGATAATCTGTGGATAAGCAACTGTCACTATGCAACATTCTATCTTTTTATCGAAGCAAAACCAATACGATAATCTCTTGCTCAGTTTGGATACAAAAGTCTCGTTTGGTATTTGCCAACTGGCGTCATCTGTGGCGCGGACTAACGAGATATCTGACTATCTGTGAAAGGCTTATTACGCTGCTCTGCAGTCTCTTCCATCCTGTTATACGGCTATGAGACATGGTCATGAAAAGTAGATTTAAGGCGATTACAGGTGCTTGATCACAGGTGTATTCGTAGTAGTCCTCACGTTTGATGGAATTGCCGTGTGAGCGATGTCTTTTCATTGAATTATTTCGACAAATTTAAAAACATTTTCCTGTTTGTCTGATACCTTCATTATTGGTTCTAGTTACTGATGTAGCCACTTTTCCCAGTATGGTGTGGTGAGTTGCGAATGTTTGATTTTTCATTTGATTATCAGTGAGATCGAAATAACCGTAGTTCAGCAGACTGGTATTATTGATACCAGTTTATGATTAAAGCTAAAATGAGCATCCGGGTTGCGGCGAGTTTCGAGCCAATGGTCTTTGGGTTACCGACTGCTGAGCTAAGAGACCCAACTACGGACCACAGTAACTCAACGCGTGTCATATTTTTTTAATTTTAGTGCATTTGTAACTCCAGGTTGATATTCACCATTAACTGACATCAGTTTGAGAAACATTAGAAACCTGAGAGCACTGGAAAACTGTTTCGTTTTAGTATAGGACTCCTCAGCAATGTGCATCCATGACCTCAGACCCCAGGACCTTCGGGTTCCTCGACCAGCACGTTCCCATTGAGTCACTGGGTTGGCATCCAGTCATCCAAATTTCCTTTTCTGTCAGTTCACGATATCGCACGACCTCCACCCAATGGCGTCTTTAAGTTACTATCTTCACGTCCGAACTTGTTGGCCCCATCGGTCACGACTTCTCATCAGAACTTTGAGAATCCTATCTCGAAGTAAGTCACTAAGGAGCAGTATAGTAATTCACCAATTACTTCTTTTCTTCATTATTTGCTTGAAATTCTGTGAAGCAAATTGTTGCAAAATTTCAATCCGGACATTAGTTAAATGTACAGTTAACTGTTAGTATTCAAATTCATATGACCACACTCGTCGTGTGTATGTTTCCAAGTGTGAAGTATTGCACTTGAATGTAGAGGCTAATAAGACCAAGGCAAATACATATTTTCACGAACTCTTAGCGGTTTATCACATACTCGTGTGTCAAGCAATTTGCAGTTTTGATTAGAAGAGTGTTCTTTTTTTTTCTCAGATTGTTTAACTTCTTATTGCTTATGTTCCTTTAACATTCTTCCCCATTTCCTGGTCTCCGTAACCACCTCAAATGCCTCAAAAGTCAGTGCTTGAAAATTCATCGGATTATTGAATATAGTTCTATGATGTGATAAGATAAACTTTCCAATTCAGTCTTTTTTTCACTTCCCCTTGAACACTATGTTTTAATGGGATGTGTATACCCTCTGTCTTTCCCATTGATCTGATTTAAAATTAGGCAGTTTTCGATCATGCACAATTTTGTTGATCATTAAGTATGTATGTGTATAAAATAATCTATTGTTTAGTACTTGGTTTTCAGATTGGTATCCATCATGAACTGACATTCGCTGGAAAAACATTGGAAACCTGGGAGCACTGGAGAACTGCTTCGTTTTAGTACTGGGTTCCTCAGCGGTTTGCATCCATGATACCGCCAGAGGTCGAACTCAGGACCTTCAGTTTCGATACCCAGCACTCATTGACCTACTGGATCGGAATCCAATGGTCCATATTTCCTACTTCTATCAGTTCACTATATAGTGCGACCTCCATCCAATACCGTTTCTAGTTGGATCTACATATTTGCAGCCTAAAACGTCAATTTATTTAGCCATTGTTTTAATGTTTCTGACACTCATTACCTTTGTCCAATATTCCGTTCACTACTACACCTATTAGAATTCTTTTGAATATTTTATTGAGCTATTTCTGTGACTACTTCAGTAGGTGAAAGGTTTTTGTTGATATGCATCTCGGTGAACTAGCAGATGAATCAAGGATGCGGGTTTCGTCCTAATTGGGACTTACCAGCAGGATTTACTTGGACTTCAGTGAGTGATGCTGTTTCCACTGGGGCACGATAGCCACCTCTTGTGCAACGGGTATCAAATGTCGTTTTGAAACTTGTAATTTCTTGTTGCTATACCCGGCCGAATCTATCGACCTCTGTTGGTAGATGAGCTCCAAAGGAATCCATGACACGCGTTTTGTCCTATGTGTTTAATTTTTTTGTTTTTTTTTGATTTTTTTTCCTGTTAGACAAGAACTATTGGTTGGTTGCACATAAACTTTGTCCGTAAAGAGCTCCAAAGGAATCCATGACACGCGTTTTGTCCTATGTGTTTAATTTTTTTGTTTTTTTTTGATTTTTTTTCCTGTTAGACAAGAACTATTGGTTGGTTGCACATAAACTTTGTCCGTAAAGAGCAATACAGCGATTCATTAGTGCAATTCCAATTCTTACTGACATCTGATCGAGAGGACTATGCCCTAGCTTGCACACTATGGCGGTTTAACAACTGGCCATCTGTTGAATTAGAAAATCCTCGTGAGTCCAGGATCGTGTCCGAATTGCTTGAACTGGCATCACATTTAACGGAAGAGGATGCAGAACTACCAAGTTCATCTGCTCCTATTGTTTTAGTTGATGAGTAGGTTCTTTTTTGGTATAAGTCAATGAATTCAGTATTTTAAAAGCGTCAATCATAGAGCATGATGACAATTTTGAATTGCTTTTGTGTTACTCAAGTTATTCTAGTGTCTTCAACTACTTACAGTAACGAAGCAGTACAATTACTTGTATTATACCATCGTTGACTGGACCGAATTGATCGGTTTCTATTAGTATATGGGCTCGATATTACCTGTGTTTTAGTTGTAGTAATGATGGATAGTGGCCAGCAGTGGAATCCAGCTGACGATTCCCAAATAGGATTCCACTGCTAGCCACTATCCATCATTACTACAACTAAAAACACAGGTAATATCGAGGCCTCTACTCAGGAACCCATACACCAATAGAGACCAATCAATTCGAGCTAATCAACGACGCTATAATACAAGCAGTTATGCTAAAACTATACCCGTTGCACAAAAAGTGGGTTGATGGTGTAGTGGATAACGCTCTGTCGTTTGAAGCGATCGTCCCCGACTCCGACTCTCGGTGGGAACAACATCACTCATTGAGAGGCAGTTATATCCAGCTGACGAGTCCCAAATAGGACGAAATAGTATTTAAAGTTTGAAATTCATTCTAATCCGTTACAATTGCAAATTGTAAACGCGTATTGTATCGTCAACTCATCAGACAGATTGTCAAAATCAGCATAATTGCCTATAGATTCAAGTTGCCTCACCTAATTTTTTTGATACTTTCGATTATAAAATAAAGTTTGGTGATTGTGAACGATTGATTTAAATTTTTTGTTGAACTAGGTAGTAGCATGTTGTTCATACAAAATATTAACTAGCCTAGAACGTGTCAAATAAATGGAATCATTTGTCAAGAAATACTAACGAAATACAATTAGCAACCTTGTGCACATCTGTGCAGTAAATAATGAACCACACCTATTGTGTGAGAGCTAGTGACACTACCTGACTGCGTAAACCTCGTTAGGTAGAGCGGGGTTCAAACCTGCGACCCACTGGTTGATAGTCATCTTAAACCAATGAGTCACAGCCAAGGAATATATTTTTACCGCACACCTTTCGACCACTGAGCATTGAAGTATTTGTTTGAGTGAGAATTGTCTCTATACCGTAGCTGACCTTGTATTGACAAGTTAATTCTGTGCCAGTTAGAGGCTGAATGTACAGTTGTTCAAATACCCTGGGTTATCGTTTCACTTTCAAGTTTATCTGCTCTTGACTAGTTATTCTTAACGAATCTCTTGTAAAGAATTGATTGGTGTCATAGAGAGTATGGTGGCAAAATAGATCTTACTGTTTGGTAAGATTCTGTTGAACGTCACAATCTACGAGTATCCTAGAGGTGTTGTCGTTAACTCTTGGCTAGTAGATAAAATATATAATGTAACCAAAATAAATCGAAATGTTTAAATGGATAAATAATGCTTATAGAATCGATGTATAGAAGTGTAGTTGAAAGTCATGATTTCTATGTATTTTTAGTTCGTCTGAGCAGTCATTCACAGACCGGATACAGATGACCCGTTTAGTATTTACTGACTCGCGTTATCTGTGGCGTCTACTGGCGAGATATCTGACCATCTATCAAGTAATGAGGATACTCCGCTCCAGTCCATTCTTCACTGTTATACGACTGTGAAACGTGGTTGTTAAAGGGAGAAAACATGAAGGGGTTACAGGGTTTTGATCACAGATGTCTTTGTAGCATTACTCGCATTTGATAGAATCACCATGTGAGCAACATTGAGATCAGACGAAAGGTAATAAGCAAGACAGGTAAGTCAACTGAGATAACTTGGAGGTGTGGTACGCATACTGAGCCACAATCTACCTCGATATGTCATGTTAGGGGAATTTGGACTAGGTTGAAAGAGAGTTAAGAGCGATACCAATCTATGAAGTCTCTGACTGTTGGTCTGTGTTGTGTGATGTGATGTACATTGTATGGTTGGAGTCCCTGAGAGCAAAGGACTGAGTAGTTGAGAACTCTTGGTGGTGCCATGGCTGAGAATCGGTCACAATGGCGCAGGTTTCTTCATCACTATGTAAAGCTTGAGTATTCTCACTAACCGTTATCTTCGGATTGTTCATTCTGTCACACAACTTTGTTTACCAGTCTTTTTCTATCCACCTGTTCTTTGTATACTACTGTGAAGTGTAGCAAATTGAGCCGATGCTCTTGTATGCGTGGTTCTACGTTGATTTCGTCAGTCATTCATTCTGGAGGCTGAAAGTGTTTTCCCTTTTTCTGACTATAAACTTTATCATTCACTAATTTTATCTTGGCTACAAAGTTTTTATTTTGTTCTTTCAGCACTGGCGGCTACCGTGTAGGCATATTCTGTGCAATTCGTATTCTCATCAGTCAGTTTTTGAACGACTTCCTTCTTGATGTCTACTTTGTTTTTAAGATGTTATGTCTTCAACGTCCACGTATGTTTCGAGGCTATGTAAGTTTATCTTCCTTACTGAAATCTATTTTGTGTCTCGTAAATTTTAGACCGTATTAACGTTCTGATCCATTATTTTTCTACTTCCATGTTATTATTTATGAATAGGTCAACTTTCACTTGTTGCGTTTAAACTGTTAACACTCCTTCGACTATTCTATGCAAGCATGACAAGTTGCACGTCGTTGTGGTGTGGTGTTTAACCTTAAAAAGTAGCGGACTTTTAAAGTTTGTTTTAATTTTTGGCATTATGCTGCCTTGTTCTTCAACTATCTGATTAAAAACTATAATCCATTTTGCAGGTTTAAAGTTATTGGAAATTTTGAAAGATTTGTGATATTTCAGTTCTATAGGAAATGTTCAACACAATGTTTTATTAACCACTTATTATTTATTCTTGTATTGAAGCCTATTTGCTATCTAAACTAGTTTGCTTCAAATAAGCCTGAGTCAGTTACACAGTAGCAACTAAAGAATTTATTGACTCATGGATTGGTTTTTTCCTGGTCAAAGGTAACAGTCAGCCATTATAAAGCCATCATAAGCTGCTTTATGCTCTATGCCTTCAGTATTATGTTCAGATGCACACCACTTCATATGAGTTCCATTAAGTTTTCAGATACCTTTCACATTATCTCGTCATAAACACTCATAAAGTATGTTCACATCCACCCTAACCTTACTGCATTCGATGTATTTCTCAAGGTTGATTTAAAAATAAATAAGCAATTACGAATGTTGAAATTGTTAAATGAATGAGGTTTGGAACGTATATTCTGATCGAGTTTTAGTAAGTTTCCCTACTACGTAGTATTGTGAAGCTAAATTTGTGACCTTTTTGTTCCTCAATTGTTTGTCTGCATGAAGTTTGCAAAGGTGTATATTTAGGATAAATGTGTGATAAACTGACAATTCAATTCTGCGATCCATCATGGGTTTATGTGAATGGCTGTGAACTGCGATCGGTATACGAGAGGACTTTTGATATTACAGAGTTTCTCAGGTTTTCATATTACTAATTTATATACTTAAATATTTTTTCCTCTTTCTTTTTCTATATCACTCAGTGGGATTTAGAATTCGTATATGCTCTTATGCAACATTATTTGAAAAATGAAATATCCTCCCCTTGGTATTCTACTGTGTCAGATCCACGTTATGGAACTTTATCTTATTTGCTTGAAACACGAAATGATCCTAACAGAATATCATCTGGTGAACATACATCTCCAAAGCGAATGTTAGGACACTTTTTTTCTGGTCGTCGTCGATTCACAAATCTAAAGTGCAAATATCCCAGTCTTAGCAATGACCAATCACTATTTAATAGGACTGCCAGTCGAAATAACTCATTTTGTAATCGTCGTAACAGTAATAATATTAATTCCGTGCTAAATGTCAGTCAACACCAATGCAGTAGTCACAACAGTGTCACTTCGTTCACTGATACATATCCTGAAGAACCACTTTTAGCGGATCATCACAGAAAAACATCTCATCATCTCCAGTCCAAACATCAATCTGTTGAATTTCTTTCATTCCAATCAAATCATATTCCAAGACACTTTTCTGCTAATTATACTGAATATCCTACTGTGTAATGGTTTTAGGAGTTTATATTGATTCATAAGCGCCGTAAAAATTACTTTCTAAGTTATATATTTCAATACATTTTAGTATTATAGGTATTATATTCCTATATATTCAATTTGACTAGGTTATTTACAATTATTTATACTATGCCTAGTTTATGTTCTCTTCTGAATTCTACTGAGCTTCATTTCCCTCCTACTGTGTTAACGTTGAATATATATATATATATATATATATATATATATATATATATATATATATATATATATATATATATATATATATATATATATATATATCAGTAATCAGCATTTCATTATTGATACTGTCAACTCGTTTTTATCTTGTTTCGTTTAGAAAAAAATATTATTTTAAAGGAAACTTGACTTTGTATTGTGTTTGCAATCCACTTGATGGTATGTTCTCAAAGTTAACCATAATCTTGAATTTTTAATCCGTATATATGTGTGTGTGTGTATGTGATGTGCATGCTCACGTATACACTATAGAGATTGTGAATCTACTCCATGTGGAATCATAAAAAGTTAATGCTTACGATGAATCATCCCGGTATTCAATTGGAATGTCTACATGTATATCAACTACTACTTTTAAGGTTTATTCTGTTACAGCTTGTCTAACTGTTTCCGCTTTGTTTCTTTTCAGTCTAATATAAATTAATTATCAACTATACTTTGACGCTGTAAATATACTATACTCATTCGCTTATCTCTGGGCTATCTAGACTGAAGAAAGAGACAGACAGAAGTTTCATCTGTGCATTTTGTTATTTTTAACCGTCCCTCCCTCCCCCATTTTTTTCTATTACCATGTTTTTTGCTTAGATTACTGACAGTCAATGGTGGCAACAATGAAATCTCAAGATTATCTTCATTTGTTTAACGGATATAACTTGCCTTTTTTTCGAATAATATGAATCGTGAAATTCAATTGTTTCTTGTCTTCTTCATTGTATGTTGTGTAATTGTCTTGAATTGATTCCGAGATGTAAAAAGTTGTTTGATTTTCACATTGTTTTTGTTGCATAACTTTTTTCCGTACTACTGCGTAATGATGGATAGTGGCTAGTAGCGAAATTCGAGACGCGCGTTTCGTCCTATTGGGGACTCACTAGCTGGATGTACCTGCCTCCCAGAAAGTGATGTCCACAATCGCTTTAAACACCGGAGTCATGATAGCCACTTCTTGTGCAACGGGTATAGATTTTGTGTTGTCGCAAGCAAAACCCTAGATGCAACCTGGTTGTATCCTATACCCTGATGCTAAGTATTTCTTAGCCTAATACACATTCTTGTACATGTTACAACAATATGAAAATGGATTCCGACCAGGATCCTTTAACAGCAAAAAGCATTTGATCCTACGGTTGTAGTTCCAAATGTGTTTCTTACCAAATACTCCCTCGCATCAGTTGTTCAAGCTTGTTACTCGAAGAAGTATAAATGATCATAATTGAATTTCATGTTGATTGTTATTCACATTGCCCGGTTCAAAATTATTTGAAATCAGGAGTCATATTGCTTTAAGTGAATGAAAAGTGAAAATCTTTTGGCAATTTACACTTATCGCCTCCATCTAATTCCTTCATATATGTGCTGTCTTGCCATCAGTTTCTCATTGGTGATCGCGGTCTATTCAAATGCAATGCCTGTAATTCTCTCTTTCTTTTTCTTTTTTAGCTGCCAGCCTCCTAGGTATGTCCACTCGTGAAACCCCGGCATCAGTATCAGCGATTCGTAATCCTAATAGCCAATTAGCTGGTCTTCCTCCAAGACCACCTCTATCAGATGCTGCTCTATTCTCTTTGGTGTTAACTGTTCGTGAATCTGGTAGACGTTTAGCAATGAGTGATTATGCCATAGCCACTGCTTGCACAATTTTGCATCGAGCCTTACGGGTTCTCACTACAGGGGATGAACAACCCAATCCAGCAGTCACTGCTTCCAACTCAGTTGTCAATGGATCTGATTCAATTTCTGGTTTTGATTGTATTGACCAGTCTTTTAAGCATAGCTTGGGAGATATTGACCCACATGTAAGAATTTTATGTCTGTAATAAATGGAATATGTAATTTATGATCTTGGTTTCCGTATATCTATGATTTAATTGAAGTGCAAGTGACCATGTACGAAGTCTGCATAATATGTACCTACTTAAAAACACTTTACTTTAAATTCTTAATTTCGTCACATTAATTTGTCATCAAAATTCTTTTCACACCTCATCTTCTGCTTGTTTTAGACGATAGCTATGGCTTCTATCAGTCTTGGAGGCAAAGTACAAGAAGAGCACCAACGACTTCGCGATGTGATTGTTTCTTATTACAGGTAGATCTCTTGATATCGTTTACGATTCTTACTTCAACTTGTCAAACCTCTTTGAATTACTGTATCATCCATACAAGGCTTCACCTAGACTCGTTCTAAACATACACTTTTTTTCTAGAACTCTTCATAAAAACCGTAGAAGTCCTCTGGAAGTTGGAGATGATTATGACCGTTTACGAGAAAGTCTTGTTCAAACAGAATTATTTTTGATGCGTTTGTTGGCTTATCATGTCCGTCGTCCTTCCTTACCGCATCCATATTTGGTTCACTACCTACATTCGTTACTTCATTGGGTTGGAAAAGGAATCGCACAACCGTGTGGAACTGATTTAAATACTGTTGGGAATTCTTTAAATGGATCTGCAATTGCTTTGGCACGACTTCCTGGTTTGGCTTGGTCGATCCTAGCAGACACTTATCAGTCATCTATGTGTTTGGATTTTGCTCCCGAGCATATTGCTGCTGCTGTATTACACTTAGCTTTGCGGATAGCCGGCGTTGAGATTCCTGGTAATCGACATTCCGAAATGGCTTGGTGGCAGGTAACTCTATTTTCCTGATTTTACTTCTTCCAAATGTTGTATTGTATATAAAAAAGTTTCTTATACACTCGTTGGAACAATTACTAACTCCTTATAAATTATTATTATTATTATTAGAAATGTAACCAAGTCCCAGTATTGGAATGGCCTATTGAGCAGCATTATTAGAATTGATCAGTAAGCATTCATCTCTGTGTCAACTAATATCGTTCAACATAGCGTTATATTTTCTGAATTATTGAGGTCTCAAGATCCCCCGGCTGTCTAAAGTATCCTACAAGCTAAGAAACAAGAGAATTTATCCACCTGTATTTCTCGGTCATACATACTTGTTCTGCTTAATAATTTTCTTATCCGTGAGAAGCGCAGCACTTAACTTCTTGTATTATTATACCTTTTATAATGACCTTTATAGGTGTTCACTATCTGATAATGCTCATCATTCTAGTGTATAGACTCTCACTACTTAATGTATTTACGAATATATTTATCAGTTCCTGATTTTCTATCAAAGGAGCCTAGAGGTTGTCGCACAAAAGCTAAACTGATCTCATATATACCTCATGTTATTCACTGTTCTTCGAAAGAATTCAAGGTCTTAGCAAAATTGAAATCATAGTTACCAAGTACACAATTTAAAATACACCTGTGTTTTGTACTATTCATGATTTCGTATTGTTGATAAGACTTTGAATTTTCTTTCTTTAGGCTATTTCAGATAGTTTATCACGTGAAATAGTTGAACAAATACAACTTCGTGTAATGGATATTTATGCAGTTGATGATAAATTGAAAGCTAGTTCAATGAATCGTTTCGCTGATGACTTCTGAGTACAACTAGTTGAGAAACTGTGCATTTTATACTGTTTTTCATTCTGTACATTTGGGATTTAAAAGTTTCCAATTATTATATTGTAAAGAAAATTTTACATTCAGTCTATGTTATCAATGTCGTTATTGTCCAACAGACTGTATTTTACCTTGTGTATCAAACTGCTTAGTTCATTTTGAAGTTATCAGTGTAGAATGATATCTTTGCCTTTGCATTTTGATTGGATTGAAAATGGTTTTCTATAATCATGTGTTGCTGCCATCAAAATTTTACCTCATCAGTTCAGAGATTTCATTCATACGTGTTGGATGAATTGTTATTCCCCCTGTTTGTTCTGAACAAGGAAAGATAATCTCGAGTATAATACACGACATTTTACGTAGTTGCTGATGTTACTGATTTTTAAATGTGGCATATTTAAATGATGATGGCGAGGTGTCAGGCGAGATTTATGCACCAAACATTCCCATCCTTACTAAATTGTCATAGACATAATTGTGGAGGTCCCCACAGATAGCTGCTACCTTGATGTAGTGTATGGGCTCACTAATTACAATGATGCAACGAACTGCATTGACTGGAATGCTATACCAGAAAGATCTGTTGGATAGTGGTAAGACGAAAAGCTGTTACCGTTGTACTGTAAACTGCTACGCTATGATGGTGGTTAGAGGAAGAAGTCATACTGCTGCTTGAATAGAGTGTAACAGCAATGTGTTTCCCTTGGATATGGCCAGTGGTGCTATCTTGACGCTGGGTTCTTGGTGAGAAGAGAGAGGTTAAAAAAGGTCGACCCTAAACATACCACACTCCTCCATACCCCATTGTCTTCCGGTACTGGTGGTATGCATTTTCTCTTTCCGGCGTTAGAACAATCAAACCTCATACCAAGAATCCTGAAGAAGTTGTGCGTGAAGGGCATCAAGCAGGTGTCCATTGGGCTCTGCTGTCTCGTCTTTTTTTCTTTCAGCTACCTTAGGAAGAAATAGCTTCCCACAGTGTTGGCTGACGGGAAATGTCAACTGCCCACTTGCCTTCCTCAACTTTGTCTCCTTTGCCTTCACCTCGTGGTATTAATATTAAGCCTCCTAGGCCTCACCCAACCTTTCACTCTGCAACCATTATCAACGGTCGAAACCATCGAATTTCATTTCTAGTCTCCTAAGATCACACCATCGATTTCACGTAGGGGCTTTCAATGTCCCAACCCTGCCAAATCGGACGGCAAGCATCGCTCATTAGAACCCTGCAATCTCCAACCAGATGTATGCTGTCTCCTAGACACGTATACGAGACCAAAGTGTGGTTATTAAATTAACGTCACCTGGCCATAGAAGTGAATCTTCAAAATTCACCATAAGAGTATCCGGACATTCGTTAGCTTGCTCTCGTGGACTCCCTTATGTAGGTATAGCATTGAGTTGTAAAGCAGAAAGTACACCTGTTTGTGTGCTATTTTAATAATATTGATAATAATAATCGACTTATTCCAACCACAATATGTATGGTACAGTATGAAATCCTCAACATGTTATAGTCCAGCAAAGTCACTCCAGAAGAATATTTTCAAGCGAAATGATTATTGCATCTGAATGATGTCAATAATAATAATATTAAAGGCAATAGTGTGAAACAGCCAACTGGTATTAAACTAGTGTCCGGTTTAGAATGGAGAATAGACACGAAACCCAGCGTAATTTTGGTAGTGGTGTTTCATTCACCCAGTACATGGATCTACAATTCAAGCTAAGTATCCGAGGAATAGAAATATGTATTTTTCGCGCACTGAAACATTTCTACCTAACGTGATATGTTTTCTTCGTTTCGTTAGTAACTCGACAAATGGTTAGTAGTACAAAGCATTGTAAAAATGTGCATAAGTACATGATATGTTCAGATGATACATGTAAATAATTATAAGAAACGAATTTGATGTAAATGTTCGGCGGAAAATGTTTACTAGTCCAAGGTATGAGTAAGCCACTGTTACCGGCTGAATGAGTCTGTAAAAACTAGGACGGGTAGTGATGCCTGTTCGTAATCTCCACCGACTGTAGTTCAGATGATACAAAGGATGAATTCTATAAAAAGCTGTCAGCTTTATTACACAAAGCAAAACGTCAAGATATAGTCTTAATAGTAGACGATTTTAACACTCAAATGAGGAAGCTGAGCCAATCGGAAAGGCACGTTGGGGGCATTTACGGAATCCCATGCTAACTAGCGTCTGTTATAATTCTGTCCCGATAGTCACTTGTTTTTGGTCAGCATTAACTCTAAGCAGAGGCACTGTCTCACATGGCGTCCGTCAACATCAAACCGACGATGGACACATTACTATAAGTCATCGCTGGGGTGGACCGGCCGAAGATTGGCGTTCTTTCTAGAGTACATGTTTGGACACACGGGCTTGTGTATGTTTGCGTCTTAGGAAATAGGCGGCATTGAAGCCTGTCTATAGTCCATTTGAAGATGAGAACGTCAAGTCCGAATCTAGGGAGGAGTTAGCTAAGCATTTATCTGAACGCGCGTTTTGTTCTATTTGCAACTCGTCAGCTGGATGCACCTGCACCCCAGTGACTGATGTTTTTCCTACTGTGACTCAAACCCAAGACCGATTGCCACAAACGCCAGAGCGTAATTCACCGGGGTACGATAGCCACCACCTGTACAACAAGTATCAGTTCTTATTTGTTGGTACTTGTAATTTCTCGTTGTTATACTGGGTCGAGTTTCTCGACGTCTGATGACAGATAGGCTCCTATGCGGATGCCACGATACTGCTTAGATATTCATTATATTGTAGTCTACTTAGCGACCCCGGTGGCCTATTACTTAACTCCTTGGCGTTTCAAGCGGTGGGTTCGAGTCGACTGCAGGAACACCCAATTGATGAGTCTCAAGCAGGAGGAGTCGCGCTTCCTGGACTCCACTGCTAGCCGCCAAGCAGGCAGTATCGAGACATCCGCATAGGAGCCCATCTGCCAACAAAGGTCGACCAATTCGACGCAGTATAGCAATGGGAAATGCAGGCAAGATTATAAACACCGGTAAATTTGTTTAGTAAAGGGAATGAAAAATAAATACTGCGGAGGAGTCTTTAAGTCGAATTCACAACAAAGGATAATCCACACCTCGGGAAAGTTTTCAAATGGTTCTGTTTATGCTCCATTCTCTTAGGAAGTATGCTATTCACTTTGATAACCCATGGTTTGTCTTCTTGGAATGTGGTGACAACTTTATTTTGACAAAAATCCAGTAAGTAAACTAAGTGACTCTCTTGCATTCCCTTTTTTATAAACTAACGTTCTTAGCCTTCGTTTTTACCATGCCGACGTTGATTACTAATACTTAAGTGTGTTACAGAATAGATCTAATGTCGAAGGTCAACGTATAAAGTACGGCAAATCAATCCTTTAAACAGTATGCTACAGACTGTTCAAGTATGTGAGTTTTCCTGTTTGAAGTCAGTGAACGATAACAACCTAACTGGATGTCGATTATTCCTCAACACTTATATCCCTCTTCAGTAACTTCAGGCAAAATTGTAGTTCACATCAGCATACTTTACTCAAACTAAATTTGTAGCAATGTAGACATCACTGATGAAAATCGGGTTTGCCTTTAAACACTTTCCGTGTTTCATTTACTGAACGCTAACGGAAGTAAAACATATTTTTAAAACGAAAAAATATGTTTTTGATTCTGTGCTTCCCAAAAGTGATAGTGTAAAGTAAATGTTAAGAGGTGGACCTTTTAATGAACACAGCAACAGACAACTTCGCACAACATTTCCTGTGATTACCTCAGATTACACCAGCAGCTACAGAACTATCAGTGTACACAAGCCCTTCGATAAAAACCAGAAGTCCTCAACGCCATTAGGTTGCTGAAAGCCGGGAAAGCAGTGGGACCAGACGGAATTCCTCCAGAAACACTGAAAACAGAGGCAACAGCGGACATGCTGACACCACTTGCATTGCAGAAGGTTTGCAAGGAAGAAAGGAAATGTACCTGCCTGTTGATTGAAAGAAGGGCTACCTTCCCAAACTCCCAAAGAAGGGAGACATAAGTCTGCAAGAACTGGCAAAGAATCATGCTATTCCCCCCCCCCCTAAAGCAAGCAAAATATTAAGCTGCATCATCCTGGAGAGACTAAAGGATGCGCTGGATTCAAAATTACGACGGGAACTGGCAGGCTTCAGGAAGAACAAATCATGTGCGCATCAACTTGCAACGCAACACTACGTGTCATCATAGAACAGAGCATAGAATGGCAGTCAACTCTTTATCTTACCTCAACTTCATCTACTTTGAAAAGGCCTTCTACCGAGAAGTAATTTGCCAGGCAGCTGCTTGCTTCAACACTACGGTTTTACTACTAGAAACCTTTGTCAAACTCATTCAACTGCAGCTATATGCTACGTGAGGATGCTACATGCCAAGTGATTGACTATGGAAAGTTGAGCTCAGTGATGCCTTTGAAGTGAAGACAGGGGACAGGAGTAAGACAAGGTTGCCACTTACTATCCTCATCGATCATCTTCCTGATTGTGGTCGACTGAACTGGATGATGCAAGAGACTGTGAGGAGCGACAAGATGTGCATATGCTAGCTGGACCGATGAAAAGACCCCAGAAGAAGATTTGGATTTCGCTAACGATGATGATTTATGTCTAATGTCTTGTTACACAAACTCGAAGATCTACAGACGAAAACCACCAAGTTGGCAGGAGAGGCGGGGCAGCGAAGACGAGATTTCATGTGAACGTAGAAAAGATAGAGGTGATGAAGATACCCAACCATGAACGGGAAAAATCGGAACGAAGTAGTCTCTTTCACCTACTTAGGCAGCATCGTTTCAACTATAGGTGGCGGCCCAGATGAAGATGTCAAATCTGGGATCGGAAAAACAGCAAGACAGCCCTTGGTTAATCTGAAATCAGTGTGGAGATCTATTGCACCCAGCACAAAGCGTGAACAAGAGAGTGGAGATGGA